ATGTTCTGTTTTAATTAATAAAATAGTTTTAAATTTTGGACTCGTCTAATACAAAAATATTAAAGCTTTTAGTCATAATAGCTACAATTATACGAGTTATTGCTATAATGTTTTCTATTCGTAAACACAATTATCATTAAATTTAAATGTGTATATTTAAATTTCTATTAATGGTTATTTTGTTGGTAAATAAATAGATGTGTGGCTTAGAAAAACTATGTGTGATTATTAAAAAATAAAGGTGTAAAAATTTTCTCAAATTATGTATATTAAGGTTTGTACCTTGGTACTACCAAGCGTAAAATTATCCTGCAACTTTTTAGTTTTTTAATATAGTACCCACAAAAAGTAACTGAGAAACCATATTGTAGGACCCATATCTTTTTGAAAGGAAATTTAACAGGCATATCTCAGTTAGTGTGCATTTTACGAAAAAATATTTAAAATAAAAATTAAATGATTCGAGGGGGGAAATCAATCAGTACTAAAATTGGTTCTCATACTTATAGGGGGAACAGGGGGTAACTTTAAAATTTCCAATGGAATACCCTATTTTTTATTGCAGATTCGGATCATTCGACTAAAAATAGGTAGATTTTGTCTAAAACATTTTTTCATATTTGTAATAGATGGCGCTGTAATGAAAAAAAATCAATTTTGTTCGATTTTTCTTCTGTATAAGATTCTCCAATAATTTTTGAATAAAATACCTAGGTACTTGGTTTTATTTTTAAAATTTATTTATATATTAAATTTTAATTGAAGTAGGTGCTCAAAATGGTAGCCTTCAACTTCAATGCATTTATTAATTCGCATTTCGTTTTAATATTCTGCTAACGCTGCTCTGGGATATTCCCAAACCTCTAGATAATTCTCTTTTGCTTGCATGAGGATTAGCGGCCGTTGCTGCTAATACATTAATTTCATTATTTCCACCTGTGACTGTTGCTCGACGAACTCTTTTTTCGGATGAACACTCCCGTTTGTAGTAAACTGCTTGACTGTACGGTGAAATTAAGTACGTGATCGAATTTTATCCGGAAAACGCTGAGCGTAGATATTAACAGCATCATCAAGATTTCTGCCTGCTTCTCCATAAATCAAAATCATTTCTATTTTTTCTTCCACTGTTAAAAAAAATCCATTTTGAATAACTGCTTAACGAAAGGAGGTCTTTTTGTTTGCAAATTAATCTTCGACAATTGATTAAATAATGCTAAACTATAAATAGTTTCTTTATACCTAAATAATAATTATTATTTATAACTAAATACCATTTTTTATACCTCAATTAGGATTAAATTAATTAATTGACAAAATAATATATTTTTACCTTAAACGAGGTATTTTTATTAAAAATAGTACAAGAATCCTTTAAATTAAAGGATATAATGCTGGCAGGTAAAAAGTGACCATGGTGCGCAATTGATAATTATCACCGAATGAAATAATGTATAAAACTTAAACCAAAGGAAACTTAAATTAAAAAGATAATTATTACCAAAAAAGTGATATTTTTATAGAAAAATTATTGCAGAATAGTATAAGAAGAAAAATTAAACAAAATTGATTTTTTTTTATTACAGCGCCATCCATTACAAATATGAAAAAATGTTTTAGACAAAATCTACCTATTTTTAGTCGAATGATCCGAATTTGCAATAAAAAATAGGGTGTTCTATTGGAAATTTTAAAGTTACCCCGTGTTCCCTCTATAAGGAGGAGAGTATGAGGACCAATTTTACTACTGATTGATTTCCCCCTTCGAATCATTTAATTTTTAATTTAAACATTTTTTCGTAAAATGCATACTAACTGAAATATTTCAAAGTTTCACCCTGAATAGTTTAAGCCAATACTGGGGTTATAAAGTGTCGGAAAACAAACGGAAAAATTGGGGAAAAAACCTGTTTTTTCCGGTTTTTACCCAGGCCTTGGAAAAATTGGATTTTTTGGGAAAAATTGATTTTTTTTTGGAAATATACACATTTGAAAAAAATTTGCAATTAATAACTTAACATTATTTTAACTAAAAAGAAGTCCTTTATTACAAAATAAAAAATTAACTTAACATTGAATTAAATTAAATTGATTTAAAAAAATAAATGTAAACGTTAAAAAGAAGTCCATCAAAAATATCCAACTACAAAATAATGAATGATTTATAAAGTTAAATTACAAAATTATAATTTTATAAATCAAAGTGTGAAATAAATATGTTGAATATGTTTTTTGCGGCCCGGTAGAATATTCTTAATCAGCGTCGGAAATTAATTTTTTCTCGATATCATTGTACGGATATTATCCTTAAAAATTTAGAAATTTTTAGAAAAATTGACTTTTGAATTTTTTTCTTTTACACTTTGAATAAAATTTAAAAATGAAAAAGTCAATTTTTCTAAAAATTTCCCAATTTTTCCGCCGGCTCAATTTTTTCGGAAATTTTAAAACCCTAGCTAATACTAACGAATTTGACATGGAAGCAATATTTTTAAGTTGATACTGCCCTCTTGGCACCTATTAATTTGACGTCAAAAAGTAGCATACTTAATATCCTTGACAATGGTTTTTGTCCGGGACTTTTAACGTGCGCATTGTATAGTGAGAAAAATGTATATTAGACTGGGCCAAAAAAATCGACTATTTTTTTTTTTGAAAGTATATCGAAAATATTGTTTGGGGCGACAAAAAAAAATATGGTGAAAGTTTGAGTCCATAATATTAATATTAAGAGGTCTATCATCGCAATTTTAGATTTTTTTTCCTGAGCGAGTTTTTGTCTAAGAACTCCCAAATCATTGAGTTTAACAAAATTGACTTAAGAATATTTTTTGAAGAAAATTGAATGCTCTACAAAAAAGGTTTGATTGGAATTTCCCGTCAGATGAACCCTTTTCTTACGATCATGCCTTAAAAATTGGTATAGTTTTACAATTTGATCTTTTAACATTGGAATTTGTAATTCAAGTAAAAATCAGTACCCTGAAAAAAAAACGATAAATATTCTTATGGAAAATCAAATGCTCTACAAAAAAGTCTTTTATCATTTTTGGCTAAATTCTCAAAAGTTATTCAAGGTTAAATTTGAAGTCAAAACGAAATTTGATTTCCCATAAGAATATTTATCGGTTTTTTATGCATACCCATGGTACTGATTTTTACATGGGTACTGATTTTTACATGAATTACAAAATTCCAATTTAAAAGATCAAAATGTAAAACTATACCAATTTTTAAGGCATGATTTTAAGGAAACGGTTCATCTGACGGAAAATTTCACTTTAAACTTTTTTGTAGAGCATTCAATTTTCTTTAAAAAATAATTTTGTTAAACTCAATGGTTTGGGAGTTCTTAGCCTTAAACTTGCTGTGGAAAAAAAAATTAAAATTGCGATGATAGGCCTCTTAATATTAATATTATGGACTCAAACTTTCACAATATTTTTTTTGTCACCCCAAACCATATTTTCGATATACTTTTCAAAAAAAAAATAGTTGATTTTTTTGGCCAAGTCTAATGTATATACCAGGGTCGATAATTTTTGAAACCAAAAAAAATAACAGTAGGATGAAACCCATTGGAAAAGGAGAAGAATATAATAAAAATGAAAGGAAAAATAAATTACGGGCGATCTGACTTCGGGAATGGGAGGGGGGGGGGGTTTAAGGGTAAAAAATGGTTTATCTCGATTTCCGGCAAAACTACAAGTCCTATGGAAAAAAGTTAAATGGCAAAGTTGTAGGTAATAAAAGGATCTACAACTTTTGTAATTACAATTTTTTACATAACCTCAAAATTTATATGAAAAATTCAAAAAACCAAGTTTTTGGTTTTTTATTTTTATCTTTTCCAAAAAAAATTTTTTTCCACGAAATTTGGTGAAAACTTACCTTTTTATGTCCCAAATACACTGTAATTTATTTTATTTGAAATATTTATTATTTCGCCTTATTTTGACTTAATATCAAAAAAGCACCCTAATTTTCATTCGAAAATTCTCGCGTCAAAATATCAGCTTTTTTCAAAGTCGGTGTGCTTTTTGTTCGTTGAAATCTCTACTTTCTGATGGTGTAAAAAAATATACATTACTATGGTAAATGTTCTCAGAAAATGCAAAAAATATTATAATGAATAACGAAAAAAACTCGAATTCGAAAATTTATTTTAATCATTATGTACAATTTCATCAAAAAAATGTGATTGTTGCAATTTTTTTTAGTTAAAAAGTTTATTTATTAAATTCTAATAACATTTAGGTATGTCATAAAATCCCATAAAATATAAAACTACATGTAAATCATACTATTGAATTTAGATACTTCATTCTGATTACGTTATTCATTATATTTTTTGTATTTTCTGAGAACATTTACCATAGTAATGTATATATTTTTTACACCATCAGAAAGTAGAGAGTTCATCGAACAAAAAGCACACCGACTTTTTGAAAAAAGCTGATATTTTGACGCGAGAAATTTTGATTGAAAATTAGGGTGCTTTTTTGATATTAAGTCAAAATAAGGCGAAATAATAAATATTTCAAATCAAATAAATTACAGTGTATTTGGGACATAAAAAGGTAAGTTTTCACCAAATTTCGTGGAAATTTTTTTTTTTTTTTGAAAAAGATAAAAATAAAAAACCAAAAACTTGGTTTTTTAAATTTTTCACATAAATTTTGAGGTTATGTGAAAAAATTGTAAATACAAAAGTTGTAGATCTTTTTATTACCTACAACTTTGACATTAAACTTTTTTCCATAGGACTTGTAGTTTTGCCGGAAATCGAGATAAACAATTTTTTACCCTTAAAACCCCCCCCTCCCACTCAGATCGCCCGTAATTTATTTTTCCTTTAATTTTTATTATATTCCCCTCATGTTCCAATGGGTTTCGTCCTACTGTTAATTTTTTTCCCTTTTTACCATTTTTAAAGGCTTCTGCACTGGTCTAAAGGTGTTGCTAATTGGTAAAAAAAAATTATTCAAAGTTGTACTTACTTTATTTAGGTGAACAAAGGTATTCCGATTTGGTTCGTGGCCAATTAAAATCACAAATCAAAGTCACAGAAGCAAAAAACCGAGACACACTGAACAAGAGACCGCAATGATCGCAACCCTGACCCGCTAGGCAGAGGTGAGCAACACATGCACGGAAAAGCGGCGTTTGCCGGCGCCCGGGCGGGCGGAATCCGCTGCCAGCGGTGGCGGAAGACGCCGCGCGCGTCGAAAGCACCCCTTTCGCTTTCGCGCGCCCCAAAGTCGACGGTTTCTCTTCGGCTGGCGATGTCTGCGAGCCCCGCGTCACTCGGCCTCGTACGCTCGCGCTGTTACTCGGACTTTCACTCTCCAGGTCCTCACGTCTACTGGCTGCAGCCGCTCGCTTGACTGCCCAACTGACTGGCTGGTTGTGATTCGTACCTGGTGTGGGCCGGGGACAGGTTCCACTGTTATTTTGTTTATTCCATCGCGGTAGCACTGTCCATCCGAATGACGATTTCGGACCTGCCTTCTATTTGGAACCCCTTACCTATCCACATAACTAGAGATGTAAAGAAAACAGAAAAAAAGTTTTTTTCATTTTTTTTTTCAAATCCTCTACAATAAAGCATGTTTTGTCAATAAATACCTTCAATTTAAAAAAAATTGACTATTTTTTCAAAATGAAATTTGGCACTAGAAAAAGTGGAAGAATTGTTTAACATCTGGAAACTTAAGATAAATCCTTGAAAATCTCAATTTATAATTCTCAACCAAACTCCCAAGCCGAAAAAATTATCAAAAACAAAATTAAACAGGCTATAGGCGAAAACATTCCCAGTTTTCAGTTTGGATTCAAAGCAAACACATTTTGTATATATATTTTGTCCAGGCAGGTCAATTTGATCGATTTTTTTTCCTTTGTGATAGAACAGTGTAATATACTGCAAAAAAATTCTACAAGTTTATAAATAACAAAAATAAACTTTAAAGAAATAAAACTTATAGGGTTAATCTGAAATAGGGAAGGAACACAAGGAAGAAATAAAACATTGTCCTCCTCCTAACGCATCCTGAACGTTTTATGACACATTGCTTTTGACTTTTTCAAACGTTATTTTTCAGAAATATTGTTGCTATGCTATGCTATAATACAAAATGAAAATAAAAAAGTTAACTTCTAAAACAAGAGTTGTATGTAGCGTTTTGTAAAAGACACCAAAAGTGTGCGCAAAAAAATCTTACCTTTAAAATATTTACAAAAAAATTCACACACTTTACACGTGCTCACTTGTTGTTGCCGAACTATCGAACATGTATGCCCTCTAGAAATAACACGATAGTATCTCTATCTCGTGTCTCTATTTCGAAGCAGTCGGCATATATGACGACGTTAAGAAAAAGACAAGATTTTTGAATGTCAACTTTAATATTTTTTTCTGTTTAAACTACTTTGTAAAAAACTATTTTATTTTTATATACGAATAAAAGAACTTTCCATTGTTCAAACATAATTTATTTTTTCAGAAGAAAGCTGCAAAGAAGAAAAATATAATAATTTAAATTAAAAAATCGCCTCTGGGGACAGTTAGGTTACAGGACATTTTACCTAGTTTTTCTGCCATATATAGAACATTAAGTAATTAAAAAAAAATACGATGGGTCCTAACAGGAAGAGGGTATTTAAATATAATAAATACAAAACTTCAACAAAGGTCAAAAATAAAAATAAAATTAGCTGGGGACAGCAAATGTACAATGTACATTGTACATTTAACGAAAATTTGTCCATAAGCTCACTCGGGGACCATGGCAAATTGCCTCTCTTACCTCCTACCCCTCTGTGGGCCCCTGCACCAATATTATAAATAGTAAATACCTATGTTTACCACAAATTTCTTGAGATTTCCTTTTAAAATATTTTTAAAATTACTAAAAGCTAATGAGATTGTGTCACTTTCATTGTTTTATATTTGTATACCTATGTTTATTATTTTTAAATATTTAACTGAAATTTTACGAAAATTGAAGAAACTTCATCAAAATTTCATGAGCCAAAGGCATTTTTTATCCGTTTTCCGATACAATTATAGCAAAAGTAAAAGTTTAAATTAATCATGACTTCTAAAAAAAATGTAAAGTCTAATTTAATTTACAAATTAACTGAATTAAATTATTTAAATTAGTTTATGCATATAAGTAACAATAATTACTTATAGTGTATTCAAATCCAAGCCGAACTAAACAAAACGCCCAGACGCTTGATAACTCGTTCTTATTGGTCGATTCGGAATCTGTTGTAAATTATTATTAAAGGTCCCAGGGGATGCCGCATGTGAAATTTATGCGAAATTTTCGGTAAATTGCGAAACTTTCAATGAAATTTCTAAAAGTTTCACAGGCAATGTTAATATTTTCGGATTGAAAATTTCATTTGAAATTTTTAAATATTCCACTTTTCCAACTAAATTAAATATTTCAAGTTTGAAACTTTCAAAGTTGAAATTGTCCCAACCCTACCCCCAATAGACTGTGCCGAAAAATTCAACTATTTTTATATCGAATATCGAAAATATTGTTTGGGGTGACAAATGGTGAAAGTTTGAGTCCATAATATTAATATTAAGAGGTCTATCATCGCAATTTTAGATTTTTTTTTCTTGAGCGAGTTTTTGTCTCAGAACTCCCAAACCATTGAGTTTATCAAAATTGACTTAAAAATATTTTTTGAAGAAAATTGAATGTTCTACAAAAAAGGTTAAATTGGAATTTCCCGTCAGATGAACCGTTTTCTTACAATCAAAAATTGGTATAGTTTTACAATTTGATCTTTTAACTTTGGAATTTTGTAATTCATGTAAAAATCAGTACCCGGAAAAAAACCGATAAATATTCTTATGGAAAATCAAATGCTCTACAAAAAAAGTCTCCTAACGAAGGCGTAGAAGGGCTAACAATAATATTTTTTTTTTTAATAAAATTTTTAATCGACAATTGTCGATCGGTTAGACAATTGTCGATCGGTTAGACAATTGTCGATCGGATCGACAATTGTCGATCCGATCGACAATTGTATATATACAGGGTGTTTCACATTCGTGGCCCATTAAAAGTTTCTGGGAAACGAAAAAATATATCGATTTGAAATTTTAAAAGCGTTTATAATCCATTTAAGTCAATTTTTCTATAATAATTTGAACAAAATGCCACTTCCGGTTAAACCAGATCAACTTAAATATTATTAATATTATTTTAAAATTTTTCGAATTATTAATTTTTAAACACTTAATTAGTTAACAAATTTTATCTATTTTGCAAAAATTCTATAAAAATAAATTAATTTTATCTATTTTGCGTTCAAAATGACTTCATTATTATACCGCTCCTTCGTCGCTCGTTTTATAAGTTGTCCGCGTGCGACAAAATGACGTCTTATGACATTAGTTCTATTGTTAATATACTATTTCATTATTAAAAATTTTGACTAATTTTTAAAAATTTGATTTCTTATTATTTGGTAGTTTCCACATAAGAAACCAATAACAATGTAAAACTTCTGCACTAATGGAAAAAATTAAAGGATAAAAAAAATTTTTGCCATTTTTCGGCCAATTTTATCTTTTTCAAAAAAGGTCGTATTGCAGCCGTAATAAAAGCAATTTGAAGCTTGAAGTTTCTAGTTTTGAGATTTTTAGACGAAAAAATTTTCAAAGCAACGTGCAACGCAAAACTAAATTTTTTTGGCTTTCCTGTTTTGAATGGGAAAGGACCATTTCGTCTTTGACCATCGATATCTCAGCAACCAAAGATTGCACAGAAAAATTCAAGGTGGGTTTTATAAACGTTCTACAAGAATTTGCTATTTATTTTTTTAAGAAAAAATATCTGAAGGAGATCTCTTAAAAATGTGTTTGGAGTTTTCAGTATACATTTAGAGTTTTGTTTTTATTTCTTACTAACTAAAAATCAAAATAAAATTGGATTTTATAAAATCTACACAAAATTAATAATATCTAATTAACATTTTTTTTAAATCAAAATCCATTTTTTACAATTCAGGACATTTTATTGTTCCTTAAAAGCATAAACTACCGGGTTAAGTTATGCCACGAAAGCTTTCGTGAATTCACGTGCACGTGCCAAATTATTCCTGGCAGCCTTAGGAAATTATGCGCTTTTCTCTTTTTATTCTATGTCGAACTTGCGGTTTCATTAAAAATTGATTTTTATATCTATGTACATTGAAAAGTCAGTTTTAATATTTATGCAAAAAAATCCCATAGTTTTTAAAATTATATTATTAATAATTATAATAAGGGTCAAAACATTAAAAAAAATTGATTTTATCAGGAAAATATTGACAATTCAAATTAAAGTTTAAATATCAAATACAATTTCATTTTAAATAAAATAAAAATATTTTGAATTAATAATAATTATTTAAATTCATAACAATTTTTTTTATAAAACGCATTGTCGTGTTTTCTGAGTACATTTAATTTAAAAATTTTATATGTGAGTACTTCTCTTAAATTGTTAAAAGTGGAATACCACCCTGTATATAAATGTTTTAAAAATACTTTAGTTTATGATGTATCAAGATTGATAAACGTCATTTTAGTCACGAATTTAATTCAGGCAAGAGCGAGTGCTTAATTAAATGAGTGCCTAGAAAAAATAAACCTATATATAAACTATACTTTTTTTACGACATATACTTAATATTATCTAAAAAATGATTTAAATTAAATATTTGTATAAAGCGACATCTATAGGAAAATAAAGTAACCATCTCGAGATGGTTGATTGATCAATAAACATGTTTGACGTAATTTTCACCATTGACATTGCCTGTTATTATTTTAATTAAACTTAACAATTATTGATAATTAAAAATATTAAAATAACTTCAAAATATGATTATGTTAAGAATATAATATTTTGCAAAAAAAATCAAAGGATAACATATTATCATTGAGTAACATCTTACTCAATGATATTATGTTATCCTTTGATTTTTTTCATTAATATAATTGCAAAATATTATCACAAAATATTAAAAATTATTATACGGGAAATGTTAAAGGTACAAACAGTTCAGAATTTTATAACCAAAAAAAACTAAAAAAGGAATCTGTATTTATTTTATTGGTTACTGTGATACAAGATGGCGATAGTGTTAAAATATGTTTATTTTAGAATAGAAATATAATTTCGATTAAATCGATTTATTATAAGAAAAATAATACCATTTATTATTGAATTTTCAAAAACGTGTGAAGTATAATTTATCTAAAATTCCGCAACAGTGTTGCCACAACACCTGCTTATTTTCTTGGATGTAGGCGTGCATACGCGAGGAGACAACTATGATATCGCATTGTAATAGAACGAGACAGCAAGGCTAACGCCAATCGTGAGTCTAAATTAGTTCAGGCATGCTTCTGAGCCAATCATTAGGAAATACAAAATTTTAACTCTTCCCTGTTTGTACATATTAAGTTTAGATTTATTCATTTTTGAAAATAAAAAAGATAATTATTAATTAATTTAACACATGGTAACATACATAGTTACTCAACAAGAAGCCAAAATCAGTTAGTTTTGCAATTTTCTAGGCTCTCTGTATGTCAAACGTCTTTTATTTTTATTGGAATTAAATGTTATAATAAAGTTATGTCTATTGTGTCTTGTAAATGTTCAAAAATGTTAAAATGCAGGATTTTTGAAAAAGTATATTATTCTGTGGAAGAGTTTCTTAGTGATATTTTTTAATTAACTTATTTAATTTTTAATAAATTAAGTAGTATGTACATAGTTTTAAACATAATTTCTTTATTTTGTATTTTTTTTGTTTGACTAGTCCAATATGTTTTATGGAATTAAATGCTGTAAAACTCTGTGATCACATATTATTATTATTAATGTAAGAAGTGTCTAAGTATAATGTTTGTTGCGACGGTTCTTATATATTTGCCCGCCGCGGCGATTTTTTAATCTAATTAATAAAATTAACTTATTATTTTTATTAAACAACATTTTATGAAAGGGTCCAATCAACCTCCGCGACGGTGCTTTTTTAAATATTATTTAGTTGCTGCTAGTAAAGTTCTACTTTACTGCCGATTTTTTTTACTTTACTGCCGATTGTTGACTACTTTACTGCCGATTTCGGATAAAAATAATTTTCACATTTAGTATTACTTTACAAAAAATGCACTTTATTTTAACGATTGTATGACATGTGACAACTGTCAACTAACTTAAAAGTAGCTTCAGCACGTGACTACAAACCTGTTGCCAACTTTGGCCAGTGACTAAAGCGCCATAAAGCCACAACTAACAGCAAAACAGTAAAAACACGTACGATAATGGGCGTTTTAAAGGTGGGAGTAGAAAAAATATTAGGTAATTTAATATAAATATTAGGTAATATAAATTTAAATAATATAATAAAATTATTACAGCATCACAATATTTAGACTACATATGAGCAGATAAATGAAACAAAATATATTAAAAATTCTTTAATATTTTAAAAAGTGGAAATAAAGTTTTAAAATTATTACAAACTACAAATATTTTTATATTTTATACAAAGTTATGCATACATTTATTTTAAAAAGAAATAAACATAATTATATTTAAATTATAACCCATTATGTTGTTTTATGTTTTGCTTTGTAATGTCTCTTTAACTTTTGGTTATCCACAAAGGACTTTGTACAACCAGGTATGTTACAAATAAAAGGTCGTTCCCCAGTGTGAATCCTTAAATGAACAATTAAATGATGTTTCTCAAAAAAAGTTTTTAAACAAACGGTGCATTGGAATTTCTTGATGCCCTACAACAACAATAAAAAATAACCCAAAGTTTAAATACAGTCTCTCCATATTTTTTCCAATGTAAGAATATTAAAATCTTACAGTGGAAAAAATTATTAGCATTAAAATAAGGGAGTGTATATTGGTCCGGCCGTTCGGACGAATTGAAATTGACACTATTTGTCCGGGCGCTATTTGCGCTATGCTTGAACAGCTGACGGCCGGACGAATATTCTGGCGACTATTTGTCCGGGTAAAAGTTCCGTCGTAAATTAGCTGCAATGGAGGTTGTAGTTTTTGTGCGAGTGCTTTAGTCAATATAAAGTATACCCGAGAGTATACCTAAGTACCTATAATAAATTATTAACATTTAATGATGTATGACTAGACTAACAGTTTCTTATTTTCGTAAAGTTCAGACAACTCGGGATTAAGTAAATATTTTTCAGTGTGTAATTAGGTATACCAACAAGCATATTTACGTAATTGCTCTATCAAATACTTCGTTTCCAATGCCTTCTGATGGCTAAATAAACTGAAGCAAAAGCTAAAATTATTATATCCATACAAGTACTTTCATTATATTCATAGGAGTCGTATAAAGAGATTCTCTATATTTCTGCTTATAAGCAGTATACTTTTTTATTCATTGTTGTTCATTCTGTTTTTAGAAAAATGGATAATTATATTGCTTTTGGTAAAATGTTCCAATCATTTAAAGATATTGAAGAAGCAATAAAACAATATGAAAAAGAACACGCTATTCAACTAACTGGAAGAGATTTAACTCTTTTAAGTGCAAGAAAAAAATGTCCACAACGAATAGAAAATTGCAATACAAGGCTTCAATATTACTAAATTAAGTAACTATGCATGTTATAAGGGTGGGAAAAAATAAAAAATGTCCAGGCCATTTAATAAGGTTTGCCTTATCTCAGGATGGCCAATCCTTGGTTGTTTCTGAGATTGAAGAAAACCATAATCACAACTGCGACACACTTGCCAGAACAACGCCTGGACATGTTTTTGAATCTCTTTGAGTTAGTTGAATAGCATGTTCTTTTTCATATCGATTTATTGCTTTTTCAATATCTTCAAATAATTGCAATATTTTACCAACAGCAAATTTATTATCCATTTTTCTAAACAGAATCGACAACAATAAGCAATAATTAAAAACTAAGCATAAATATAGAGAATCTCTTCATATGACCCATATGAATATAATAAAAGTATAAAATATTAATTTTAGCTTTTGCTTCAGTTTATTGTACAGGTACTCGGATATTCAGCCTTTAGAAGGCATTGGAAACGAAGTATTTGATAGAGCAATTACGTAAATCTGCTATTTAGTAGGTATACCTACTTACACACTTAAAAATATTTACTTCATTTACAAAAATAAGAAACTGTTAGTCTAGTCATACCATTGGCGGATCCAAGGGGGGGGGCGATGGGGGCGATCGCCCCCCCCGGAAGTAAGTTATCAAGTTGAAATTGAACATAACTTTTTAAATTAATATAGAAAATAATAAAAAAAATGGAATAACTTTAATTTCAACTTTCTTATTATTTACAACAAATTTTCAACTCCGCCCCCCCCAATGACACATTCTAGATCCGCCCCTGAGTCATACATCATCATATGGTAATAATTTATTATAGGTGCTTTTACTTTATATAGACTGAAGCACTTGCACAAAAACTACAACCTCTGTTGCATCTAATTTACGACGAAAATGTTTGAACGTTCACCCGGACAAATAGTCGCCGCAATATTCCTCCGGCCGTCAGCTGTTCAAGCACAGCGCAAATAGCGCCCGGACAAATAGTGTCAATTACAATTTGTCCGAACGGCCGGACCAATATACACTCCCTTAAAATAAAGGGACTAATAAACAAATTTCTACTCTAACCATTATTTCCCCATTCTCTGTATGGACCATTCCTGCTGACACAACGGGCAGCGGTTGTTCTGTTTCACCCACAGCGACATGCAACAGTAATGAAACGAGTGGTTGCATTCCCCCCAAACTACAACACAATCCTGCTTGCCGAACGAGTCTTTTTTACTTTCCGCCTGACACCGCAAACAGGCGTCCATAACCTGCACCCTGCAAATAGCGCAGGTGTCGCACTCGACGTCCCAACTCCACATAGCAACGGCGTTCCATTTTTTCAGGGCGAACATTTTTTCCGACTTGACGGGTTCGTGCTCGACCGCGCGTTCGTTGTTATTGTCGTTGTCGTCCCCGGTTTGAGACATTTTCGATAAAATAACCGCTTTATTTACCTTCGACAGCTTTATAACCTTTATTTTTGACAGTACAAAAGAAACGTCACTTTCGGACTACGACGAGCAGTTTTGCCAACGGCGTTTTATTAAAGGGCTGCCAACATTGATTGATTGTTTTATGTCTTTGTTCCAACGCATTAAAGTTTAATATCAGAAAAACTTACCTTATGGTATTTCTCGTGCTTAGTTAACTCCTTATCGGTGTAAAATTTAGCCGGGCATGATGGACAACTAAAATTTTTAATACCCAAATGAATTTTCTCGTGCCGCTCCAAACTGCTTTTGGAGACGAAATTTTTCGCGCAGAGCGAACAATAATATCTGAAGCCTAGATGATGATTTTTTTCGTGCGCTCTTAAATTACTACCCACCGAGAATTGCAGGTTGCATAATTTACATTCGTATGCTTTTGTAGAGAGGTGAATTTTTTCGTGGCAAGTTAACGAACTCTTTGTGGAGAATCCTTTTGCTAAAAAGTTACATTATACGGGGTGTTTTTAAACGGGTAATAAAATGATGAATTTTAAGAATTTTTTTGTCATTTTGCAAAAAAAATGCTTAAATTTAATCTTTTTACTACCCCTATAAATTTTTTAATAAATTACCACAAGTTACACATAAAAATGGCTTTTTCCCTTCATGTTTTAATTTATGAGTTTTAAAGGCGTTCATATTGGAGCAAATTTTTGTACAATTTTCTACTTGACATGGGTATTTTCCCACGATTTTGTGGGTGCTCATATGCATTTTAAGACTGTATTTTTTATTGAAAACCTCATTACAAACTTCACAGTTAAATGGATCTAAAATGATAAGTTTTATTTGGTATTTGTTATTTGACAGTCAAAACCCTAGGTTGGAACAATCCTAACAATATTAAATAATGCGAAAGTGTTTGTTTGAATGTCGGCAACCAAATTACAACACATAAATCGTGTAATATGGGTTGCCTATATTTACATACCTCTATCCGGAGGTTTAGGTTCTTTTACCATATCATCAACATTATTAACTAAAAATAATACAATTAAATCCTAATTTTTCTCCAAATATTAAAAAGCTTACCATTGGCAATTGTTTTTGACAATAAGGCTTCTTTTAGTTTTTCATCAACATTTTTAACAAAACTTATAAATTTACTAAATTGTTCTATTTGATCCTTGCATTTTAAACATATAAATGTTGGTAATAATAGTAAAAACTCATCATTTAGCTATAAAAATAAATTATATTAAAACACTCCTTTCAAGTTAATTTTAATTTGTATTACACTTATATCCGTATATTTCTGTATTTGTTGGGTTAAATTAGTATCCTCTTTAAAACTATGTTCACCGCTATTGTTTTGGCAAAGTCTGCAATTTTCTAAAACGATTTTAAACATTTTAACACAAGAAACAACAAAATTTTGACAACATAACTTTTGAGGTTAGGATTTTAAACTATGATGTCGCAATGTTGCCAGTGTTCTTAATTATAAACAACTATTCACTGCATATGATTCATAGAAAACCCTGAAGGATTGGACTTATCCTTTTTCTATGCCTATATAGGTATATGTGATTGGACAAATAACTATTATTATTCTATTATCTATTAAAATAAATGTTTTCAATGACATTCTTTATTGTTTTTTAAATATTTTTTATTCCTATTTGACTTTTTGACGTAATTGAGTTTTGACACAACTGGCATTTTATAGAAAAATTATGACAACTTTGATATGAAAGTGAATAACTCTCAAATACCACCAAATTGGTGTCAGATATATTTAGAATACTTGTATTTAAGGCATAGTAAGGATAAAATACGGAAATCCAAATAATAAAATGTAAATAATTTGAATTTGGCGGTATGATTTAGGTTGGCAGTATTTTAGTAACATCCATGGTCTTGTTGGTTTCTTATTATAAATCATTCTGGAAAAAGTCACGTTTTCTAAAACCATTAAAAAGTATTTAACTAAGAGTGTAATTGTGTAAAAAATCTATACAAAATGATGGTAAGTGTTAGTTTAAGGAAATCTCTTTGTAGTAAGTCAAAAATTAGAAATATTAACGTCATTTACATACCGGCACACCTGAAAATAAAAATGTTTTTTTCCTTCACCAGCAACCACAAATCTTGCTTTTAAAAGAAGGAACAGACTCCTCACAGGGAAAACCACAACTTATATCGAATATAAACGCTTGTCAGTCAGTTGTAGATGCTGTACGAACGACCTTAGGTCCAAGGGGGTTAGATAAGTTAATTGTTGATAACCGCGGTAAAGCCACAATTTCTAACGATGGGGCGACAATAATGAAATTGTTGGATATCGTACACCCAGGTGCTAAGACTTTGGTTGACATAGCTAAATCGCAAGATGCTGAGGTTGGGGACGGTACAACAAGTGTGGTTTTGCTAGCGGGGGAGTACTTAAAGCAAATCAAACCGTACGCTGAGGAAGGCGTGCACCCCAGAATAATCATAAAAGCTGTCAGGCAGTCGTTGCAATTGTGCCTTGAAAAGATAAATGAGCTCTCGATCAAAATAAACAAGGCGAACCCGGAGGAGTTCCGTTCTTTGCTGGAGAAGTGCGCCGCGACGGCTATGAGCTCGAAACTGATCAACCAGCAGCGTGATTTCTTCTCGAAGATGGTTGTGGATGCCGTTCTGCTCCTCGACACACTTCTACCCTTAAACATGATTGGTATTAAGAAAGTTCAGGGCGGGGGTCTGGAAGAGTCCCTGCTCGTCGCCGGGGTGGCTTTCAAGAAAACCTTCTCCTATGCCGGGTTTGAGATGCAACCCAAAGTCTACAAGAACTGCAAAATCGCCTTGTTGAACATCGAGTTGGAACTGAAAGCTGAACGCGACAACGCCGAAATCAGAGTCGATAACGTTCGGGAATACCAGAAAATTGTCGACGCCGAATGGAATATTCTGTATGAAAAGTTAAGAAAAGTCCACGAATCGGGCGCCAATGTGGTTCTTTCCAAACTCCCTATTGGCGACGTTGCAACGCAGTACTTCGCAGATAGGTAAGTCTAAAAATATGCTTAGCCTCGAAAAACGAATAAACAAAGAAAAACAACTTAATAATTGCCTTTGTAATTTTTGTATTCCAAGACCATTTTTTGAATATTTTTGAAAATTTTTATTATAAGGAAAAGTTTGGAAAAACAAAAAATTTCAAAAAAAAATTATTCTTTGTTTTTTCCAGGATCGATTTTATGTTTTTCTAATTTGGTTTAGTCGTCTAAATTTAAATATTCAAATATTAAAAGCGATTCAGAAATTCTCCTCAACGGATATTATATTATGTATTATATCTACATATATATTACGTTCTCACGAATTCGTAGTTATATTTTCAAAATATTATTTTGTCGTTTACTAATTTAAAATGCAGTTGTCGGTGTTTTTTTAGAGGACTCAAATATCAAAATGTGTGATTTTAAGGTTATGTTTGTACAACAATTATTTTTTGTAAGATTTCTTAAAAATGTCCAAACTTGGATAAAGTACACGTGTGTACAGGGTGATCCCCTATAATGTCGCCCCCCTTTAACTTTTTATTTTAAGTGTCCCAAAAAATTTAAAAGTGGTTATGTAGGTACTAAAAAATACTTTATTATTATATTTTTTCGGACACTTAAAATAAAAATGTTAAAGGGGGGCGACATTATAGGGGATCACCCTGTACACTAACGTAAATCAAAATCACCTCATCACTTAATTAAATTAAATTCGTGTTTAAAATGGGGTTTATCAAACTAGATACATAATAAACTATTATAACCTGTCTTACAAATACAAAAACTAACTGTTTAATTAAAAATTTCAATCAAACTAAAACTAATAACCAATGATTACTTGATTTTAATCATGAATAAAACTAATTTTTTAATCGTGATTGATTTAGTCATAACTAATTTTTAGTTTTGATCAATCGATTGACGATTGAATATATCACAGCTAAACGCTCAGACACGTAAACTTAATTTTTGGTCGTAGATTACAAATCCATGGTTGGTTTAGCTGTATCAGGTCAAAATTCAAAGATATTGGAAACACCCTGTATAAATTTAAACACAATTTGGCTGGCCCACACATAAGTTCCAAATTAAAAAAAAAAACAAATTCTTGCAAAATTTGAAGTTATTGATCAAAAGAAACACGTGTCCCTGGGGGGTTTTTCATAGATAAGTTATGAAATACAAAATGTTTTTTTGCAAACTTTTTTTATTGAGTATAATTGAGGAGCATCCGTGCAAAACCGGCTATATCCACTTTAATAAAATGTTGGGAAAATGGCAATAACTATCGGTTTCCTGGCCTTTACAGATAAAAAAAACTTGAGTTTTGTGGGCTTTATGGTAATTGATTTATAAGACATACTTTCGTCTTCAAAAACTTTATATTAAAGCCAAAATTTAAAAAAATGTTATGTATATAGCCGGTTTTGCTAAAAAACCTACGAATAAAATGTGAAAAAAACCTTTATTATTCAAAAATATTAACAAAATAAATTTAGTGAAAACATGAAAAAACAGAACAAATTTTAGTAGTAGTATCGACATATCCAAGCCACATGCTTATCATCATTATTATTTATTGCATATAGCCGGGTTTGCTATAAAAACGTGGATTTGGCCGGTTTTGCTCCTAAAACTACCTTTTAAATGTGATTTTAACATCGATTTAGTTGGAATTATCTTGGTTGTCGATAGAAATTAACCCAAAGATGCGAAATAAAAAAAACAAAAACTGAATAAAATGAATTTAGCCGGTTTTGCACGGATGCTCAATTGAATATATTATATTAATTAAAATAAAAAGCATAAGAATGTCGACTCAAGAGGTGAAATATATTATTTTACAAATTATAGTATACCAGTATACAGTGTGTACCCGGATCGGATTTCCGACAGGAAAACTTTTTTAGACCTGATACAACTAAACCGAGCACAGATTTGGAATCTACGACCAAAAATTATGTTTACGTGTCCGAGCGTTTAGCTGTGATATTTCAAAGGTTGAAAATCTACCTACAGTCACAATCGACACAACAAGGTCTGTTCAATCTTCTTAAAATACGAACGAAAATCGGTACTGTTATGCGCACATACGACTACCGCCATATTTGATTTATTTGCCGCCGTTAATTTAAATTACCCAAAATAGTAATTCTGTATAACACAGGCATGGAAGAAGTAAACAAAGTTTTTTTTAAGTTTTAAAGAAACATCAAATGTTTTTTAATATTAAAGGATTTGACAAAAGGATAAATCTTTTTATAAATTATTATTTAGGAAATAAAAATAGTTATTTAGTTTTAAAGTAAAATGAAATTTGACAAGAGTTTTTTTATCAATGAATTTCAGAAATTAATTATTACATTTAAATAGTTACATTTAGTTTTAAAGTAAACTGATATTTGACAAGAGTACTCTCTAAAAATGAATTAGTCAAAAATGACTAATTTAATAGTTTTTAGTGTACCATGGTTAACCATGGAAAACCATGGTATCTTCTTATGTAAAATTATCCCCTGAATCCAAAAATACCATAAAAAATTAAGAAAGTGGAGCAGTTTTTGAGATATAGTCAATTCCATATTTTTGGAAATTTGACTATATCTCAAAAACTGTTCTACTTTTTTAACTTTTGACGGTATTTTCGGATTCAGGGGACAATTTTACATAAAAATTGGCTGTTAAATTTTGGGATACCATGAAATAATAAATTAGTCATTTTTGACTAATTAATTTTTAGAGAGTATTTTAATCAATGAATTTGAGAAATGAATTATTGACATCAATAATGCATTTTTAGGAAGTAAAAATATTTGTATCTGGTTCCAATAATAAAGAATAAAACCAAACAACTATTACAAATCCGCATAAACAGCACAATAATTGAGGAGCATCCGTACAAAACCGGCTTAATCCATTTTATTCAGTTTTTGTTTTTTTTTCTGATTTCGCATCTTTGGGTTCATTTCTATCGACAACCAAGATAATTCTGTTTAAATCCGACTATATCCATGTTAAAATCACATTTAAAAGGTAGCTTTAGGAGCAAAACCGGCCAAATCCACGTTTTTATAGCAAACCCGGCTATATCCAATAAATAATAATGATAAGCATGTGGCTTGGATATGTCAATACTACTACTAAAATTTGTTATGTTTTTTCATGTTTTCACTAAATTTATTTTGTTAATATTTTTGAATAATAAAGTTTTTTTTTCACATTTTATTCGGTTTTTGAGCAAAACTGGCTATATACAAAACATTTTTTAAAATTTTGGCCTTAATATAAAGTTTTTGAAAACGAAAGTATGTCTTATAAATCAAGTACCACAAAGGCCACAAAACTCAAGTTTGCTTTTTCTTTTATCTGTAAAGGCCAGGAAACCGAGAGTTTTTTATTAAAGTGGATATAGCCGGTTTTGCACGGATGCTCCTCAATCGCAAACAATGAAATTGTAAACAATCAAAATGGCGACTAAAGTATGAATGTATACTAGGTTGCCTAATTTAGTGATTTTTAACATGCGCGAATAAAGATCGAACAGACCTTGTTGTGTGGATTGTGCCTACTCTCTAAAAATGAAACAGTGGATTTTCACTGATTGACAGTGCATATTAACTATTTGCCGCAGTGATAAGTATACCACTAGCAATTAGTGAATACTCACTTTTTCATGTAGCGATTTCTTTGGGATGGACAAAACCACTAGTTCAAAAAAGTTAAAATTTCACTATTTTATGTCGAGAGTGAAAATTTCACTGTTTCACTTTTAGAGAGTACAGTGTTATTAGTGACTCTGAAAATGCCACGTTTTTCGTTCGTTTGCAGGGACATGTTCTGCGCGGGCCGCGTCCCCGACGAAGACATGAAGCGCACGCTGAAGGCGTGCGGCGGCGCCGTGATGACGACCGCGCACGACCTCAAGGACGCCGTGCTCGGCCGGTGCGACCTGTTCGAGGAGCGCCAGATCGGCGGCGAGCGCTTCAACTTCTTCAACGGCTGCCCGAACGCAAAGACGTGCACGCTGATCCTGCGCGGCGGCGCCGAGCAGTTCCTCGAGGAGACCGAGCGCTCGCTGCACGACGCCATCATGATCGTCCGAAGGACGATCAAGAACGACGCGATCGTCGCGGGCGGCGGCGCCATCGAGATGGAGCTGTCGAAGATGCTGCGCGACCACTCGCGCACCATCGCCGGCAAGGAGCAGCTGCTGATCGGGGCGATCGCCAAGTCGATGGAGATCATCCCGAGGCAGCTGTGCGACAACGCCGGCTTCGACGCCACCAACATCCTGAACAAGCTGAGGCAGAAGCACGCGCAGGGCCACTGCTGGTACGGCGTCGACATCAGCAAGGAGGACGTCAGCGACAATCTGGACGCTTGCGTGTGGGAACCCGCCATTATCAAGATCAACGCGCTCACGGCGGCCACCGAGGCCACCTGCCTGATTCTCTCCGTCGACGAGACCATCAAAAATCAAAAGGCGGGCGACGCACCTCAGATGGGCCGCGGGATGGGAAGGCCCATGTAATTCTTTTTACCACTGGCACTCACTTAATTAACCTCATCGATCTTATTTTTATTTATAACGATTGTTGTGTTACCCTGTTCGATTCACAGTTTCATCTGCCCCACATAATTTTTCTAATAAAGCTTTACCTACGTAAAATATCGTTTTATTTATGTTTTATCTTGGTATTTTTATGTTTTAGAACATATCAAGTACATTGATGTGTTCTAAAATGTAATTAAGAAATTTCTGTACTTAATGATTACAATAATTGTATAATGATTACAATTATTGTAAATTGGGGAAAAACCTGCTTTCCAGTCATCATTTGTTTATCTACTACTTATTGAAGTAAATAAAGTATAGTAGGTAGGTATTACACTCTAGATTATTCGCACTCGTATAAACATACCACATTTTGATTAAATTATTATTTTTAATAAATTTACCAGATAATTTTGTTTTACATAAGGTATCCGGATGGCCATTTATAACTTTGGGAACCATTGAGTTTGCCAACTAAACCCCCTAAATTTTTGACGTCAAATTCCGAATAAAAACAAACTGTAGCTGTAGAATAGTTGCTTCGCTCGCTCAAGTTCTGGGAGTTTTAGAAATTTTAAAATTTACAATTGTAACACCGCAAAAACTAAAATCCTACCATCTATGAATTTTTAAATCCAAAAAATTAAAAAAGCAAAAAAACTATACATGAAATTTGGCAACCAACATTCTGAACAAGTTGAGGCAGAAGCACGCGCAGGGCCACTGCTGGTACGGCGTCGACATCAGCAAGGAGGACGTCAGCGACAATCTGGACGCTTGCGTGTGGGAACCTGCCATTATCAAGATCAACGCGCTCACGGCGGCCACCGAGGCCACCTGCCTGATTCTTTCCGTCGACGAGACCATCAAAAATCAAAAGGCGGGCGACGCACCTCAGATGGGCCGCGGGATGGGAAGGCCCATGTAACTCTTTTTACCACTTGCACTCACTTAATTAACCTCATCGATCTTATTTTTATTTATAACGATTATTGTGTTACCCTGTTCGATTCACAGTTTCATCTGCCCCACATAATTTTTCTAATAAAGCTTTACCTACGTAAAATATCGTTTTATTTATGTTTTATCTTGGTATTTTTATGTTTTAGAACATATCAAGTACATTGATGTGTTCTAAAATATAATTAAGTAATTTCCGTACTAAATGATTACAATTTTTATAAATTGGAGAAAACCCTGGTTTTTCAGTTTTTTTTCGAGCCTTGAAAAAATTGTCTTTTTTTGGGGAAAATTTACACTTTTAAAAAAACAGTAAACATCTTAACATTATTTTTAAAAAAATATCCTTTATTACATAGAAAAAACTAAAATAAATTGATTTAAGAAAATGAAAGTAAACGTTAAATATACTCTCGATTGAGTCTTTTTTGCAAAATATTGAATTAAAGTTAAAATCGAACTGTCCAATAGAGCACCGAATATGTTCTGGCCCGGTAGAAAAAAATAATCTTACTGAATTAAAATTAAAAGAATAATTATTATAGTCATCATAATAATAAATGATTATAATCAGCGTCGGAAATTCACTTTTTTCTCGATATCAGTGTACGGATTTCTTCCGTAAAAATTTGTAAATTTTCTGAAAAAATGACTTTTGCATTACCTTTTGAATAGAAAGAAAAAAATGCAAAAGTCAATTTTTCTGAAAATTTCACAATTTTTCCGTTTTTTTTCGCTGACTCAATTTTTCCGAAAATTTATTAGTGATTTGTCGATTTCATTGTACACGGTGATTTGGACCAATCGGATTTTAAAATGGAAGAAGGCGACTATGATGATATTCAAAATTGGTAGAAAGTGAGGTTAACCCTCTGACATCTTGGATTTCAATTATTTATTTTTGAAAATCATTTGTTTATCTACTACTTATTAAAGTAAATAAAGTATAGTAGGTATAACACTCAAGATTATTCGCACTCAAACATACCACATTTTGATTAAATTATTATTTTTAATAAATTTACCAGATAATTTTGTTTTACATAAGGTATCCATTTATAACTTTGGGGACCATAAAATTTGCCAACTAAACCCCTTAAATTTTTGACGTCAAATTCCGACATCTTGGATTTCAATTATTTATTTTTGAAAATCATTTGTTTATCTACTACTTATTGAAGTAAATAAAGTATAGTAGGTATTACACTCTAGATTATTCGCACTAAGGTATCCATTTATAACTTTGGGGACCATAAAATTTGCCAACTAAACCCCTTTTTTATTTTTGACGTCAAATTCCGAATAAAAACAAACTTTAGCTGTAGAATAGTTGCTTTGCTCGCTCAAGTTCTGGGAGTTTTAAAAATTTTGTAACACCGCAAAAACTAAAATCCAACCATCTTCGAATTTTTAAATCCAAAAAATTAAAAAAGCAAAAAACTATAAGTAATTAACATCATCGATCTTATTTTTATTTATAACGATTGTTATGTTGATGATTCACAGTTTCATCTGCCCCACATAATTTTTCTAATAAAGCTTTACCTACGTAAAATATCGTTTTATTTATGTTTTATCTTGGTATTTTTATGTTTTAGAACATATCAAGTAATTGATGTGTTCTAAAATATAATTAAGTAATTTCTGTACTAAATGATTACCTACAATTATTGTAAATTGGGGAAAACCCTGTTTTCTCAGTTTTTTTTTTCGGGTCTTAAAAAAATTGTCTTTTTTGGGGAAAATATACACATAAAAAAAACAGTAAACAACATCTTAACATTATTAAAAAAATATATCCTTTATTACATAGAAAAAACTAAATTAAATTAATTTAAGAAAATAAAAGTAAACGTTAAATATACTGTCGATTGGGTCTTTTTTGCAAAATATTGAATTAAACTTAAAATTATAATTTTATAAATCGAACTGTCCAATACAGCACTGAATATGTTTTGGTCCGGTAGAAAAAAATAATCTTACTGAATTAAAATAAAAAGAATAATTATTATATTCATCATAATATCTATTATACAGTGAGGACGCGTGGGTTGGAACAAATTCATTTAAAATTCAGGGATTTGTTTTTTGAAAAACGCTTAGACACGTCGATTTTTATTTTTAGATGCGGTTTTTTTAATAGTAAACTCACTTATACAGGATTACCCAAAAATAAGTTACGACCATCACCTTAATTTTTTTAAATGGAAACCCCTATGTTTTATTTTATTTTTGAATTTTGCATCAAATTCTAAGTACTTACTATGTATGTTTTATGTACCATGTCCTATACCTAAACTCAACAGTTATCGAGAATTACGAGTGATAATAAAATACCGGTTTACTGAGGATTTTTTTGTATCGAGCAAAACATTTTAAGTTTATTTTAAATGGTTTTTTAATTCTGGTACTTTTTATTGTCGACTGTATGATAATTTTACTTTAAATAAGTAATTTTCAAGTGCAGTTAAGAGGTTTGAAATAATGGCGCGTTTAACTGAGAAGCAGAGAATAGAAATTTTGATGATGGTAGGATATGGCGACAGGACTCAAACACAAGGTAAAGTTTGCGAAATGTTTAATAACAAGTAACCGGAAAGGCCCAGGCCTTGTGTTTGAGTCCTGTCGCCATATCCTACCATCATCAAAATTTCTATTCTCTGCTTCTCAGTTAAACGCATAGATTAGATAAAGGTTAAACGCGCCATTATTTCAAACCTTTTAACTGCACTTGAAAATTACTTATTTGAAGTAAAATTATCATACAGTCGACAATAAAAAGTACCAGAATTAAAAAACCATTTAAAATAAACTTAAAATTAAATGTTTTGCTCAAAAAAATCCTCAGAAAACCGGTATTTTATTATGTTCACTCGTAATTCTCGATAACTGTTGAGTTTAGGTATAGGACATGGTACATAAAACATACTTAGAATTTGATGCAAAATTCAAAAATAAAATAAAAAATAGGGGTTTCCATTTAAAAAAATTAAGGTGTTGGTCGGAACTTATTTTTGGGTAATCCTGTATAAGTGAGTTTACTATTAAAAAAACCGCATCTAAAAATAAAAATCGACGTGTCTGAGCGTTTTTTCAAAAAACAAATCCCTGAATTTTAAATGAATTTGTTCCAACCCACGCGTCCTCACTGTATAAATCCCCTAAATTGTTGACGTCAAATTCCGAATAAAAACAAACTGTAGCTGTAGAAAAGTTGCTTCGCTCGCTCAAGTTCTGGGAGTTTTAGAAATTTGGTAAAAACTAAAATCCTACCATCTTCGAAATTTTAAATCCAAAAAATTAAAAAAGCAAAAAACTATAGATGAAATTTTGCAACCAACATTCTGAACAAGCTGAGGCAGAAGCACGCGCAGGGCCACTGCTAGCAGCATTTAAATGATTTAGATTCTATATACCCAGAATTATTTATATTTTTATTCTAAATAGCCAAAATCCCACGATATTAAATTGAATGCATTATGTGTTTGTACAAGATTTTTATATTTAAATTAATATAAAATCGCCGCTACTGATCCAATTAAATTACAAATTTGTATAGAATCAAAACTATTAATATGAGTGAATCTCACGAAATGTTCCCCGCGGGGTGTTACCCCGTGATATTTAATAAAACTAAATGAGTTTTATTGTGTTTTGATCTTTCATAATTAAGTAGATATTACAGCTCAGATTTTTAACCGCAACTAATTATTTTTTACAATGTTTTAAGTCTTAAACCTATCCTCCGTGACTCTTTCTAGGTTAACCTATATATTTTCAAGGTAGTAAAAGCATACTAAAAATACCAGTTCACTAAGTAAATTAAACACATCGAATCAAATATAAAATATTATTAAAAATTAATAGAAATAATTTTTATAACCATTTATGTAGGTGTTTCAAAAATTGATTCTATCCTCCGTGAATCTGTTTTTGCTTTAAATTTTATGCAACAAATGGGGCTTTAATCATTTTAAATAAGCAAAAACCTCTGATTACGACATTATAGATGCATGTGATCCCTGAAGGTCAGATGAGAGTGTTGCTGTTTTATAATTCAAAAGTTTAAGTTCATTAATTTGCTATTTAAAACCTATCCACCGTGAAGTGTAATATCTCAGTAAGTAGATTTTTTTATAAATATTGTATGTACAATATTGTATTTTTTTAAATATTAAGGTGTTAAAAGATACAATAACTTATTTTTAAAAAAACATACGAAATCCTAACCTCCGTGAAGCTCTAATATTCAAAAGAACCACTTATGTTATGTTATTACCAGTGCCGGTTTAACAGGGGTTTTTTGGGGACTATAGCACCGGGCGGTAAATATTTTTGGGGCGGTACCGCGTACCGCCCATAATTTAAAAAAAAAATACTTAATCGTTAGAATTTAGAAAAAAAATTATTGCGACACTGCGTCGGCGGATACAACGGATACAAATGAGAAAAATGTTGTTAGAGTTGAAGCAGCTTCTCCATCAGAAAAACTTGATTTATTGGAAACGGAATAACTTGAACTTTTTGGAGAGACGTTTTACAAAGGGTTAATGAAACCAATAAAGCAGTCCAAAAACAAAATATGGATTTATTCACAAATGCTCATCTTTTGTCATTTTTAGTTGATTTTTACGTGATATCATTTTGATCATTACGAGGAAATTAACAGGAAACGAAAATTATGCTCAGAAGCGGATAATCATAAGAAAATTACAATTTGAAGAAAATAATTCAGAGGCAAGTTTAAGCAAAAAAGAAACAATGCGAACAATATGTTTTATTTTAATAATTGATAATCTATAATCCGAAATCGTTTGTCGATATGATAGCTAGAAATCTGGCACAAACAAATTTGAATTTTTGTTTAATCTAAAAGCATAAATCTTCGTGGAGGATTTGGATGAGTTTTTTCCTCAAAAATGTGTCCAACTCAAGAAACTGGTAACTTCCCTTTCGGAAATAAAACTCCATTGGAATTAGTATAAGTTTTATACGAAAATAAATTAATATCTTCATTTCCGAATATTGTCTGCGATTTTTTTTTATAATGGTTTCAAATGCAAGTGGTGAACGATCTTCCTCTGCTCTAAAAAGGGTAAAGAACTACCTAAGAAATACAATTCCCCAAGAAAGATTTAACTCCTTAGCAATTCTGTCCATTTATCAAGACCTGCTAGATGAAATAAATGTAAAGTGTTATAAAACAATTTGCTACTATAAAGACTTGAAAACAACCTTTTAATTATTAGTATTAGGATTTCTCAATATTTATTTAAACCAAAGAATAATGTTTTATTTATTTATAACTTTTGATTAGTTTTTCTTAGTACTTAGTATTGTTTATATAAACCAAAGAATGTTTTATTTTTTAGTTAGTGCTTTTGATTAGTTTTTATAATTTTTTATAAAGGCTCATTTTATATTTTATAGGATACTAAGTTTACTGTTAGATACCAGCCTAACCAACCTAATCTTCCACTTGACGTGTGAAAGTAAGACTTAAAAATTTAAAAATGTTTTTAAAAAAGTAATATTTTAAAGCATTGGGCGTTGTGTTTTTGCCAGAACCGGGCGGCGAACTAACTTAAACCGGCACTGGTTATTACTAGACCTGGTGGCTTCCCAAAAACCCCATTCAAGACTAACAGTGAAACAACCAAAAATATAAAATAATCGTTTTCACTTGGGGGACATCTCAATATATATGAAACTAGTCTTAAAAGTTCATTAGATATGATATTTTAAAAGTGTTATATAATTACAATTTTAACTTTGGTATGTTAATAAAAAAAGGCTAAAATTAAAAACAATATTTTATGATGTTAAAAAAGTTTTTTTTAGTTTAAATCTTTAATAAAAATATAAAGCATACAACATACAGAAAAAATAACACACAAGCCTACATTATCTAAAAGAAGAATTCCATCTTTGGAAAATTACAAAGATCTTTGACACAATTTTGTATTATATTTGATTAACCAAAAATTATGTACCCTTAGGAACAGCAACATTATTTAAAGAAATAAAATTCGTCTTAACCCATTTATGACCATTTTAAATTTTAGAACTGCAAAGGCATCTATGTGTTAAAAATTTTTTTTAGTTTAAATTTTTAATAAAAATATAAAGCATACAACGTACAGAAAAAATAACACACAAGCCTACATTATCTAAAAGAAGAATTGCAGCTTTGGAAAATTAAAAAGATCTACCTACATCTTTAACACAATTTTAAATTATTTTGTATAATATTTGGTTAACCAAAAATTATGTACCCTTAGGAACAGTAACATTATTTAAAGAAATAAAATTCGTCTTAACCCATTTATGACCATTTTAAAGTCAATTAGGGTTTAAATTAAATTTGTGCCTAAAAACAACCTTATTTCTGGTGAATCCTAGTGGTGAGCATGCCATTGGACAATCTCTTATATTTCGGCAAAACAGTTTGCTTCTTGACGAACAAAGGGCAGTGGCTTCTTGTGTGAGCCTCCCCCCCAGTTTTTCCGCACAAATCGCACGTGTATTTTTTTAGGATGGGGCAACATATGGTGCCATCTGGATTCTTCAAGTTGTGGGTAGCAAACATCTCCTTTATTTCTCCGTTTTTCTTGCAAAATTGGCAGCAGTAAGGCGAGTATTGGTACTTTTTGCTGAATTTGAGATCGCCAGCTAAAACAAGTTTTTTGTTAAAGTTTTGACATTAGAAAACACGTTTTTCTAAGAATTTTTTTTAAACCTTCCAATGGGAATATTCTTAGGATCATGCTATATTTCTTCTAGTCATGTTCTAAGAATGTTTTTTAAACCTTCCAGTGGGAATATCCTTAGGATCATGCTATATTTCTTCTAGTCATGTTCTAAGAATGTTTTTTAAACCTTCCAGTGAGAATATTCTTAGGATCATGCTATATTTCTTCTAAAGAACATGCTTAAAAGAAATATAGCATAATCCTAAGAATATTCTCACTGGCCTATAGGCAGGTTCTTAGAAGGTGCAAAGTTTAGTGGTAAAAATTAACCCACTCTAAACATATGCTTAGAATGTTGAGAAAGTAATTGCTATAGAAAGTTCATTTAGGAATATTCCTGGAACATTCTGTTGAGCATATTCAGTTCAGTTAGGTACCTATATAATAGTAAAATATACCATAATCTACATATAAAGGTACCTATACTTAGCATTAAATACTAAGTAAAAAACACAACCCAAAATATTTTTTTATATTTATTTGTCAAATTAAAACAATATTCGATAACAAAAATACTTTTACTATAGGTATCTAAATTATCCGGCTTTTACATAAAATCTTCTATCCAGCTTAAATACAATGAAAAATGTTTTTTTTATGAAGAACTATTTGGTTTTTTTCTTTTATGAAGAATTATTTTATAAGGTAATATTTAGTTTTTTTATATTTTATTTTATGTTAAAAATAAATATTTATTAATTTGTATACCGAGTTTTTATATCTGAATTAACATTTTTATAATGTATAATGTATAATGTATAATAATCCTAACTATCTTCAACTTCAATCTAATCTGACTTATCCCACAAAATTTTCCAATTTTACTTTTTATGAAATACTCTCATACAACTTATGGTTTAAAGGTCAAATTGTTTATTTAATATTTTTAAATAAATATATATTATTATGTCGCAAAATTTTTTAAGGGGACTACAAATACGTTTCACTGTCATATTATGACAGTGAGGCATATTTGTCGCCTCCTGAAGAATTTTACGAATGTAGAATCCAACATATTAGAACGTGGGTATCTGACATATTTGGAAATATTCTCAAAAGCTTCCTAGAAGCTCCATAAAAAAACCTTCTAAGAACATTCCAAACACGTATTCTTAAAATGTTCTTAGGATGCTTCTAAGAACATTCTTAGCAATAAGGGAAGGTTCTAAGAATATTCCATTATTCCGGGTCATATCTTCTTAGAAGATTCTTAGAATCAAATTTTGCTATCAGGGTGGTAATGCTATTTGTCACCCAATATTTTCTTCAAATGTTACATAATTTTATCCACTTGTAAACATATTAATATGCCACAGTACAAATTTTACGAGATTATCCACAATTCAGTTCTCTTAAAATTAAGACCAATTTTGACAGTATGTAGTTTGCTTGTTTTTTAACCAATGAGTCAATCCAAATGAAAACACCAAAAATGAATTTAAAAGTGATGATTTTTTATTTTAATGAAAAAATTTGAGGATGATCTTTTAGGTAACACATGAAAAACCGTTGCCGTTTTAATTTTTTAGTTGCTTTATTTTTAATCGGCACCCTTTAGAAACCTGAAATCGTGTCATTTCCTTACTCTCTTATAAGAGGCTAAAACTTTTTTTCGGTGGCAATTATTGAAATGATTGTAATTTTATTTTAAGTAAGTATGTTTTCAATATTAATTATTATTATCTAATTAATTAATCTTATAAAAGAATGATAAACCACTAAAGATTTGTAATAATTTGCCAATTTTTGTGATTTTTGTCTGGCTCCTGTGCCTATTCTGCTAAATCTAGAAAGTTGCTTTTTTCAGGTATCAAGTACTTATTTAATAGAAAATGTAACTATTATTTTAAGTTTCTAGACTTTCATTTTCTTTATTAAAAAAATTATTGTAACTTGATAATTTTCAAAATTAGCGAATTTTGCCCTCAGAAATCATTATGTTGAGGAAAAAATAAAAATCTGAAACATTCAGGAAATGTAGTCCCAACCTTCATCTTTTCAGTCTAGTTAGTCTTGTTTTGTTATTTTTATCCATGTAAAAGATATAATATTTTTTTAATGCAGTTAAGAAGCGATATTGTTAGTTTTATTTATAATTTAAAATTTAGATGGCTTTGACTCATGTTTGGTAGAGAAATGTCAGAACTGTCAAAAATATTTCATAAATATTATTTGTGCGTATTTAAATTGTTATTTCAAAAAGGATGCAAGTTTCCAAGTGTAATAAATGACGGAGTGTTCGAGATTCATAAATTTAATTGCAATTAAAAATGCAAGAACATATCATAATTTTGTACCTGTTTCTCATTGAAAATATTCAAGTTCTGAGAAGTTTTAAATTGTTAAAAATAAGCAAAAACCAAAAAATATTCCAAATAAACCCCTTTATTATAACATGTTCTGACACTTCTCCACCAAACATGAAAGCCATCTAAATTTTAAATTATAAAAAAAACTAACAATATCGCTACTAAACCGGCATTAAAAAAATTAATATATCTTTTAAAGGAATAAAAATAACAAAACAAGACTAACTGGACTGAAAAGATGAAGGTGGGAACTACATTTCCTGAAAGTTTCAGATTTTTATTTTTTCCTCAACCTAATTTCTGAGGGCAAAATTTACTAATTTTAAGAATTATCAGGTTTCAATAATTTTTTTAATAAAGAAAATGATAGTCTAGAAACTTAAAATAATAGTTACGATTTCTATTGTATAAGTACTTGATTGACCTGAAAAAAAATAACTTTCTAGATTTAGTAGAATAGGCACAGGAGCCAGACAAAAATCACAAAAATTGGCAAATTATCATGAATCTTTACTGGTTTACCATTCTTTTATAAGATTAACTAATTGGATAATAATAATTTATATCGAAAACACACTTACTGAACAGTAAATCAAAATTAAAATCATTTCAATATTTGTCACAGAAAAAAGTTCTAGCGAGAGTAAGAAATTGACACGATTTCAGATTTCTAAAGGGTGCCGATTAAAAGTAAAGAATCCAAAAATTAAAATGACAACGGATTTTCATATTTAATACCTAAAAGATCATCCTCAATTTTTTTATCAATATAAAAAATCAAGCAGCGCACCTATTTGGTGTTTTTATTTGGAATGACTCCAATTTAAAAAATATTTACTTCAAATTATAGATAATTTCATCCAAAATGTAAATATCTTAATATACAAAATATAAAGTCGTGTCAATTTCGGTTCTCTTAAAATTAAGACCCACGTTGACAGTCTGTAGTTTTGTAATTTTTTAACCTGTTTAAAAAATCATTTATATTTTCTTACCTGGAAAGTTTTGATCTTTTCTATCCACTGAAGTTTTCTTGCTTTCATTTATAAATTCTTTCAGTGAAACATATTGACGTACCAAATCATTATTTGACGCCGAAGGATTTTCATCTAAAAATAGATTGTTTAAAATAAATAAATTTAAATAATATCAAGTTTTTTTCTACCTGGAACGTTTTTTTCACATGCATCCAACGATGTTTTCTTGCTAGTATTTGTAAATTGTTTCAATGAATCATTTTGGCGTGCAAACTCAATGTTTGATGCACCAGGATCATCCTCTAAAGTTTAAAATAATTTAATTTAAGTTTTTAAAAACAATTACAAACCTTTTTTATCGGTAATTTTCATAACTTCCAAGGTTGGGACTGGTGCACTAATAATGGTTTTGGACGAATAATTTTCTGGAAGTAATTTTAATAATTTTAAATTAAAATTTTTTAGAAGTGACTTTGTTACCTTTTTTATTCAATTCTTTGACGACATTTTCATTTGTTAAGTACTTCGCAGGAAAAGCTACTTCCCCATCATCTGACAGGACAGGGGTAGCTTCCATTTGTGAATCTAAAAAATATATAAAATTAGTATTCTAAGTAAATCAGAAAATAAAAAGAAAAAAGTCAAATACCTAAGAACAGAGACCATGGGTTGAAATTAAAAACGTCTGGTACTTCTGATGATGCTGCACCTATGGTTACAGAATTTTTAAATATATCTAAAAGTAATGAATTACATACTATCTAGAGTGACCATTATTTTTTGTCCCCTGTTCATAATAAACATATGTTTATATTAAAAAGAAGTCCGGTAAAGTTTAAAGTATAGGGTAACATAATAATACATTATGTATCAAGTTTGATAAACACCATTTTATACATGAATTTAATTTAGGCACGAGCGAGCTTGCGAGCGAGTGCTTAAGTTAATGATTGTATAGAAAAGTTTATAAACGAGGTGCATACTACTTTTTCTACGACAAATACTTATTATTATCTTAAAATACAACAGGGGAAACTGTCAAATGTCACATTTTTACATTTTATAAACACAATTATAAAGGTTATAAATCGAAATGTATCTTGAAAATTGAAAGTAGAGTCCGTGGCCGAATTTAAGTTATAGTTTACTGCCGGCGAAATTAAAAGGTCAGTACAATTTTCATATAAACTTTTCAAATATTGGCGTTGAGAAACTATTTAATATTTTTGTATTTTTGCATTGAGATAATAAAATAATTTTCACATTTAGTATTATTTTACAAGAAAGGCACTTTATTTTAACGATTGTATGATATTTGACAACTGTCAACTAACTTAAAACTAACTTCAGCCCGTGACTAAAAACCTGTTGCTCACTTCAGCCCGTAACTAAAGGGCAGTAAAGCCACAACTTGTCAATGTGTATTTAAAAGGTCACTTAGTGTCATGGAAACATGTACGAACGCCCTTTTTTAAAGGTGGGAGTAGAAAAAATATTTTTTATGCGGGTTGGATAGTATCACCCAGGTAGCACACTGACGTCTGCTGACGTCTAAATGACCTCAGAAGACGTCATTTATACGTCAGCAGACGTCAGTATGCTACCTGGGCAGTGGCGGCTAGTGGATTTTGCGTATACCGATATCTTGGTTATTGGAAATAGGACCCACACCAAATTTATATGAGTTTATAATGATACTAAATTAACAAGTTCTGCGCAAGCAAAATTTAAATAGAATTTTGCAAAAAATAGATTTTTTTTGCTGCACCTTCCCTGCAGCCTGGCCCCCTAATTAAGATAATACAAATTTTAGTGGTGCAATTTATAATTTAATGTATATACAGGATATTCATTTTGCTGAGCATTATCTTATCTCGAAAAATTAGAATCATAAGTCAAATTTCTTTTAAGATGATTGAACGATAATTACGATACCCATACCCATACAGCGTCGAAAAACGCACACCCTGTATATGCAAAAAATAAGGTGAAGTCTTAATTAAGTCAAGTCACCACCATTAAAGAGATTGTTCTTACCAGAGGGTAGAAAATTCTGGCCCATGTTGGAGTAATCATATGGGAGACCATAATTTACTTAAAAAAAGGTATATTTGTATTAATAATACACAATTTATAAAATATAATTATATAATAGTTCATAATGTTACGATTGCGATTAGATGTACCTACCGTTCGTTTTTTTTAACATTATAAACCACATTATACACAGTGTTTCCACTAAAAATGGACAAAGTAAATTTTTTATTTAAACTTTTGGTTTTGAATTATGTTATGGCTAATGTGCAAACTTGGATATTTTATAAACTAGCTGTATAGTTTATAAACTAGCCAAACTAAATTAGCGGCTAGTTTACAAAATAACCAAGGATCTTGGCTAATTTACTTGAAATTATTAGGGAAACTAAAATAGCTGGATAGTTTGTATACTATCCAATTCAGTTGGGCTAATATGAAAACCAAAATTTCTAGTAACACAAAATAGCCAAGCTTTAGCTAGTTTGTAAACTAACCAACTAATTCTCTGGCTATTGCCCATTTTAGTTGGGTTTTTTGCTCAATGGGGCGGGGTCGGTTGGGATGTGTTGTTGAGTTTGGGTTGGTTTGGGTTTTTTTCTCTCATTTTTGACCAATGGGGCGGGGGGGGGCAATGGGGCGGGGTCAGTAGGGTTGTGTTGTTGAGTTTTCTAACAAGGAAGCGTTAAAATTTTGCCTATGATTCATTCATTAAAAACGTTAAAATGCACAAAACAAATCCGTTTAAGCCGGCAAAACGAAAAAAAATGCCGCAACCTCACTTTTTTAATAAATTAGCCAGAGAATTGGTTGGTTAGTTTACAAACTAGCTAAAGCTTGGCTATTTTTTGTTACTAGAAATTTTGTTTTTCATATTAGCCAAACTGAATTGGATATTATACAAACTATCCAGCTATTTTAGTTTCCCTAATAATTTCAAGTAAATTAGCCAAGATCCTTGGTTATTTTGTAAACTAGCAGCTAATTTGGTTGAAAATATGTTTTCAATTAAAATAGCTGACAGTTTGGCTAGTTTATAAACTATCCAGCTAGTTTATAAACTATCCAAGTTTGCACATTAGCCATCTTTATTGATCGATATTTTTGTTAAAAATGTACCTAGAGCACAAAAATTGTAGATTTTTAAACTAAAAATTCCAAAAAACTTTTTGACCATAAATAACGATAAAAAGGTTTATGTAAAAACAAAAGAAGGTCGATAATTTGAAAACAAAAGCATAAATAAAAATATTTATTTCTTGATATCTACAACCTTATCTACAACCTTTTTACGTTGTACGTTTTAAATAGAAACACCCTGTAGTATACTATAGTATTTATATAGGACTTACCAAAATTAGGAAAATATCTCATTGATCCAGAAGTTGCAGCATACTCTTTTGGTGTTCCTATATAAATGGGAAAAAAACATAACATTAAATGATTTAAATGCCTTTGTTTTCAGTTTCTATTTTCTGCCCAAAGACATGAATTTTAATTTTAATTATCTATCATTTGTACTTGCATACAATGCAAGTACTAATGCATTGCATTGCATACCCTGACGTTTTGACATTTGTTATATTTTCCCATTTAATTTTAATTCCGATAATATAATAGTATAGAACTAATGTCATAAGACGTCATTTTGTCGCACGCGGTCAATTTATAAAACGAACGACGAAGGAGCGAGTTTTGTAATGGACGAGTGCTATTTCATCTATTTTGCAGAAGTTGTATAAAAAAAATTAATTTTATAACTTAAATTTAATTTGGTCGAATTTTACTTTAGATACTTGGTATCACAGTCATTGGTTTGACAGTTAATGTCAAAATCGATTCGCCATACCGTCCTTAATTTACTTGTTTACAATAAGAATTTTCTTTGGTGTTGCCAGAAAAGTAGTAAGTACTAGAAAAATCATAAAAATATTATAACCAATATTCAAAATATTATGTTTTTTAAAGTATAGCCAACGTATAAAATCAAAATTTTGGGTGGGATAAAGTATCTCATTACAGCACCGAAAGCGGTGTTATAATGAAGTCATTATGAACGCAAAATAGAGTACCTATTATTTTTATAGAAAAAGAATATTATTATTTTTAAGCCTATTCTTTTAATTATTGTTTTGAAATTTTTGATAGTTTAGTACCTAGCAGTGGCGGCTGGTGGATTTTGGGCACACACATATATAACTGAGATATATCTTAGTTATTAGACATGGACCCACATAAAATTTATATGAGTTTATAATTATAATTAATGTATACATTAAATAGAAAAGTTCTGGGCAAGCAGAATTTAAATTGAAGTTTGCGAAAAAAAAATAGTTTTTAATTGTGCCCCCTAGCCTCCTGCCCCCCCAAATTAAAATAATTTAAATTAAAGTGGTACAATATTTATCGACAAATTTCAGTATTACAGATTTTATACCATTTCTTTTTTTTTAATTTAGTAAAAGAAATAATAAAAATTTAAAATGGTATAAAACCTGTAAAATTGAATTTTTTTAATAAAATTTTAAATTTGTTGATATAGTAATTTTTTAACTTAAAATTTTTCAATAAAATTTAGTACAAGGTCGTTTTAAGGGGTGGTGAATCCAGTGCCGTGCTTAAATTTTGTTTAAAAAAATTGCCAATTTGAATTCTTAAAAACTTACTCTTAAAAACTGACATAGTAGGCCTTGTATTTTCAACTAATACGGCGTCTTTTGCTCCAAAAATACAGTTTATCAAGGTCTACACTTCCGGTTAAAATCCGGTTAAAATCGCACAATAAATAGTCGCAAACAAATGGGTCGCAAACAAATGGGTCACAAGTTTTCGAAAAAAGTTTAAGTGGTACACTGCACCAGGAGCAGTTTATTGACAAATTTGAAATTTTAAAAAATACAAATAGGTATTACAGATTTTCCAATTTTATTGGCCTTTAAAATAACAAAAACCAAAACACTTAAAAGAGATTCTGTATTGCAGAATAATCTCAAATTTCTTAAAAAAAAAGCCGTTACATATCAAGGATTTTCTACAAATCCTTGGTTACATATGACATTATGACGCCGTCATAATGCCGGCACTCCAAGAAGTAAAGAAGGGCACTACAACTTGTCAATATCGAGGAATTATTCCGAATATTGAAGAACCGCTAAAGAATTATAATTATGGCTCTAAATTTGAATATGTACCTAGTGCCACTACAATAGTGGTTATGTTAACTTAACAAAAGGATGCCGAGTTAACCAATGTACTCGTGTCCATTTTTACATTTTTAATTGAAATAAGTACAAGTACAAGTACTTTTTTTAAATGTACTCTGGACTGAGTACCGAGTACATAAAAAGTACTTAAAGTACAAAATTTGAGTACAAGTACTCGGGTACCGCACAGCTCTGATGGAGTGCCAGTTCGATGACAGGGTAAACTGTCTGGCAAAACTTATTAACAGTAAGTATGACATTTAGCGAAAAACAAAATTTTATTAAGATTGTTAGATTTACCCTGGATTTAAAAATCGTGCGGCAACAAAAGAAAACCTATTTTAATACAAAAATCTATGACAATTATAAATGGTTCTGCGGGTGTAGTCATAACAATAAAATGCTTACCTACTCTTCAAAAAAATTCTGTTGCATACACCATTTTAAATGGCACTGCACGCCACTGTTACGTACCTCTACTGTAACCCCTATATCCATTTATATCCAAGTAATTTTCGCTTGTTTGTTGAGAACAGCAGTTTCTTTTGTTTATTTCGTTAAAGCTATGAATATGATCAAGAGCGCCATCAGTTTGATCCCAAATCAAATTATTTTCTTCATCTAGGTATTAAGTAGAAAAAAGTTAATTAAAAGTATCTACAACTAAATACTGTTCAAAAGCAACTTACCATCAAGTAAACTTCTTGGAAACATTGTAAAATATCACCCACGCACTCAAAATAATAAAACTAAATACAGGTGTGTTCACCAAGCGATACAAAGAACAAAAGAAAGAAATCGCAAATGGCGACCTTATAATAGTAGGCTGCGTACTAGGCCCGACAAAGCTTTGTTAGACTGCGTGCCGCCGTAGAAAAACGAAGCGCAGAACAGCTGAAGGCGGGAGTAGGGAGGACAGGCTCGGACTAAAGGTATTTATTTTGATATCGTTAAAAAAATTCCTACTTAAGTGTTTTTTATTCTGCGAATTAAAAATATCATGGTAGATATTTAAAAATTAAATTCAATTTTTATGCCAAACTGATATTTTTAGTTTGTTGAGTTTAATATATCTGTTTCTATGGCACGCCGTTTTACTTTTTAATGACATCAAAAAATTAACTCAAAACAAAAATTATCAAAATTAAAAATTGCCTAGAAAATATAAACGTTCATAAAAATTACTAAATTAAATTTAATTATAAATTAAAATCTACCAATTTATTTTTTGGTGTATTGGATATTATCCAATGGATAAGTTTTCATATATATTTACATCATTCTGGTGTGATCTATATTTTTAAGCCTCAGTTTTTATTGTTTGAATATTTTTTTTCTATTTAAAAAAGGTGCTTATATGGTAATATTAATTAATAAATTTCATTTATTTATTTAAAATTAAGTTAAAGTAGAATATTTTTTTTTGAATAAAAATTAGACAAGATTTAAATCTGTAAGCGCAAGGCGAATTTTCTCGATGAAAAATTCGATGAATTAAAATGTTGGTTAACACTCGTAAACAGAATTTTAATTTGGCGCTAGTGCATAGTGCGGTTGTGTTACGTACTACTGCCACGAAGCGAAACCACATAACGTCGAAGGTACATAAGCTCGAAAATAAATTAGGCAACAGTGCAGTCCAAAATTTTCAGTGCTATCAATAATGTAATACATTAAATGTATATCGACATGATAATGATTATTAAATTATGTAAGGGGTGCATTTCAACAAGACTGCCCTGCTGGCTAACCTCACTTTATACGAAATAATTTAGATATGGACTCTCCTAATAGACAATTTAATTAATGAACCACAATTGTGGTTCATTATTTGTTAGTTGTCTATGCAATAGGATTTCTTGCAGAAGAAGATATTTATATAATTACCAGAATTGTCCTACTCGTTACTTGTCCGAGCCGACTACCTGTACAGTAATAAGCATAGAAAAAGAATATAAGACATAATTGAAAATAATCCACAAACTTAACATGAATGTAATTAATGGTGGAATGAAAATATTGTATTGTTTTTTATCTTTTAGTCATTAAAAATCAATATTTTCTTTATTTTTATTTAAATAATTAATAAATTAGGTAGGTAAAACAGGTAAGTAAATAAAATTGCAGCACTGAATTTAAATACACCGTTGCCTAATTTATTTTCGAGCTCGACGTTATGTGATTTCGCTTGGTGGCAGTAGTACGTAACACAACCGCACTATGCACTAGCGCCGAATTAAAATTCTGTTTACGAGTGATAACCAACATTTTAATTCATCGAATTTTTCAGTCAGAAAATTCGAGATTTATAATATTTATTCCAAAAATTAAAATTAAGGAATTATTATTTTGTCACATACAAATAGCATTGAATTTAATATCTAAAAAAATAATCTGGTTAAAAGAAGTATGGCAGAAAGGTGCTTAAATGAAAATTCGTATTGCTAGATTTAAATAACATAATAATTAATAACAACTATACCAAAACTTTATTCCCGTATAAAAATTGTTTCAAAGTGTTTTAAACAACAAAATAATTCGTATTAAAAGTAAATATTAAAATTTTTAAAAATAACAATAGAAATAAAATTGTATTCAATTCTTATTAGTCAAATAAGATTTTCAGTAATATTAAACATTTAAATATTAAAACAAATATTTCGTGCAAAATATTTGTGTGTCGAATAAGAAACTTTATCATTTTAATTTCTAACAGGTAAATTGATTTTTATGTCGACGAGTATTAATAGAAAATAATTGCGACATAATGATAATTTCAGTATTACTTTTTCTTAAATAAATGTCGCGCACCTTGAATTAACTGGCTAAGGAATTCGATGAAAATCTTGGTTCAATTTGACTGCGTATTTCTCAAGTAGCGCCTTATTAAAATTATCTCAACCCAAATTTTAATTCATCGAATTTTTTAGTCAGAAAATACGCCATTCAGTTCCAAAATTAAAATTGCTTTAATTCTTATTCTGTGCTTAAAATTGTGTACTTAACAGGGCCGGCTTAAGGCAATTGAGCGCCTTAGGCACTAAAAAATTTGGCGCCTATTATTACATACTACACTTAAGGGGCCCTAGGCAAATAAATATAGTTACGTATTATATCACCTCCAACACTGAGAAAAAAGGTAAATTCGAACAAATGCATTTAATTATAATAAAATTATTATTAGGGTAGGTTCAGTACCTACCCTAATAATAATTTAGCAGAGTCTCTGCTGCAGAGATATAAAATTTAAAAATGCATATTATGCAAGTATAATTTTAGTTTTTACTAAAGTTTTATTAAAGATGTACTAAAATAGTAAGTATTTAAAAAAATGTAAAACAACCTTAATTCCCTAAATTTCTTTGTATGATGTAGGTTTACTAAATGTTTAATATTAACATTTCATAAATAGGTAGGTACCTACCTTAAAACATATAGCAAATTTACACTATCGAAGACAAACAGCTATATTGTACCTAACTACTGATTAATTTCATCTGAAATAAATTTGTGTAGGGCATAAAAACAGAAGCGAATTTCTTTCGGAACGCGCTTCAGTGCGGCACACGCTTAAAGAGCGGCACGCCTTTGTCGGCTTGACACCGCGTTATTACAAAGGAAGCCGCATTTTTTAAAAATGATTATTTGGTACTCTACCGTACCTACTCATAATTGTATATTGTTTATTTGTTTCATATTTGTAAAACCATTTTTTAAATTTTTTAAGTTGGTTGGGGACAAGGCGCCTATTTCTTCTTGGCGCCTAAGGCAATACTGCCTAATGGTTAATATGGCCCTGGTACTTAATATACCAAGGCATCATAAAATTTTTACTTTAAAATGTTCAGTCAATTTTTAAAAACACAACTTGAATTAATATTTAGCTTTAATAAACATGACATTAAAAAGTAAAACGGCGTGCCATGTTTTTTATATTTGTATTTTTTATTTAAACACGTATTTTTAATTCGCTAAATAAAAAATATGATAGGTGATAATTTCAATTTAATTTATTTTTTATTTAAAAAAAAGCAGATGGTTTATTTAAATGTGAAATTTTTATTTTAGATTACAATACGCAATACGCTCATGTTCTCCTGGCGGAGGTAAGAAGGTAATTATTTGTAGAACAGTATTAATGTTAATTGTCCAATAACCATAAAGGGTCCGATAACTGTCTACTTTACCCTAGGATTAATAATTTGTTTAATGCTGAAGACTCCATACTATAACATATCTACTTGTTTGCCTGACATCTTATTTGTTTGAGGGGGTTCCTATTGGACCCGATGATGGTAATTCTGTCTTCTTCTTCATAAACTGGAGAATTGTTGGACAAATACTTGGTTAACACATCGACATCCAAAGGTCCGACTGTTGTGTTTTTTAAATTTTTCGGCAAAACGTCCAAATTATCGCCTCCATGAGTTAAAAATGATTGAGTTATGATCCGATACACTTTATTGTCATCCAAATCTTCGTATTCTGGAACTTTGCATTTTCGACAGCGAATTTTGATGTCCTGAATTTTACTTCCATCGGGTTTGTTAAGGTTCACTGTATATTTTATTCCTTTGAAAAATTATTAATTAATTAAGTTAAGAATAAAAGCGTGCATGAAAAGTGTGCAATAAGGGTGTATTTGGAGTGCAAGTCTTAACAATGTGCATACACGCTACTTTGTGGTAATTTCACACTTTTTGAAATAATAAAGTGTTAGTACATGGTTTAAAGACATTTTGCAAAGCTTTAGTTAATATTTCTCATTTATGACGCTTATATTACACCTTTTTATAGCACATTGTTTGTACAGTTTTAGCGATCACTCAACAGTTTAAGCACATTTTAGATATATCTCGCTTGAGTTGGGGTACAACATTTATTTAAAAGGTGAGGTAGATTTCATCTTATGTATCGCTTCTCAACCTATTGCTAAGATCAAAGCAATCCCCTTCGTGGAGTTGACATTGCAGGTATTTTTCTTAATAAAATACACTATGTAGGACCTACACTGTGGGTATTTTTTTTTAAATTTTTGGTTTTGCACATTGTTTCACGTTCCATTTCCCACCCTCCGCACATCATTTTTTAAAAGATTGCACATTGTTGGCACATTGTTCTCAAATAATTTTGAACACTTTTTGCACATTTCATTTTCGCCAAGCTCTGATAACGCGTCAATTAAAAAAAAAAACCTTTGGAAAACCCTTTAGTACCTGATACTTGTAATAGTCGTGTGTTGGTATATAATTTCCCATCTCTACATTCAAGAGTTACAACAGCTTCAAATAATTCCCTGATGAATCTTCCTTCGATATCACTTATGTCAACTGTGTCGCTAAATGGGATTGTAGTTAATATGTCACTGTAGGTAATATCTACAAATATGAATATACAGTATACGGACACCCTATAGGGTGTCCGTTATTTACCAACTTGTTTTTTTTTTCGCACCGCCCCCTAAACTTTAGTTTATGACCTAAAAAAAAATTATAAAAAAATATTCAAATTAAACCGTGCCACAAAGACGATCCATTTTCCATTTAAATAACATGGGGTTTCGGCAAGTTTTACATTTAATTTTTTTTCTCCCGAGCAAGTTAATATAGAGCAATAACATATATATATATTTATAGGAAATTGAACGCTGTACAAAAAAGCTCTCCTATGATTTTTTCATAAATTCACTGATTTAAAAGTTATTTAAGGTTAAAGGTAAACTTATAGTAATTTTTTCTACGAGTATTTTTTTAATTTAACTGCAAAATTATAATTATTTTTATGAAAACGAATCTGCAGATCTGGTACTAGTTTTACTCGATTTTAGTACGATTACTTTTTTACATAATCTTTTTATTTCTGTGAAAGTCTACAAAATCTTTTCCTTTAGTACAACTAATGACGTAGAAATTCTTTTAACAATTATTTTTACGGCAAAATAAAATTCGTACTTACGCATACGTTGTCTTGAGTACACGGTGTGCCTGAACGAAGTTTAAGTCACATAAAAATGCCTCCAAAAACTGATTGCAGTTTCTTGTTCGGGACCCTTTGGTGACTTTAAAGTTTAAAATGATATTTACCAAAATCCTAGCTGCTCCTCTTTTCGAATTTTTTTGAAAATTCATGATTTTTTTAAAATTTTTTGTTTATTTCAGTCTACCTTTGACAGAGTACACATTTGTAAACCGATTTTTATAAAATTAGAGTATATTATTGAGGAGGCTTAAAGAATACTGTTCACATCATTTGATATATACAGGGTGAGCCAAAAATCGCTTATTTTTAATAAATCAAAAGCGTAAATTCATGATTTTGGCTGCCAAAATTTGGCATAACACGCAAAAAAGATTTATCCCCATTTTTTTTAGATATTTCTACGTTTATCAGGTAACAAAATGCCATTCTTATTAATCTTTCATAAAAAAATAGATTTTTAATGAAATAAAATAAAATAACGCTTAGAGAATATTTAATTTAGGTTTTTAGTAGTTTTCAATTTTGAACGAAATTAGACTTTAAGAAAAACAAAAATTTAAAAAAAAAATCATGACTTTTCAAAAAATTTTGAAAAGAGGAGCAGCTAGGATTTTGGTAAATATCATTTTTAAGTCACCAAACAAGAAACTGCAATCAGTTTTTGGCGGCATTTTTATGCGACTTAAACTTCGTTCAGATTCCTACATTGACGAGCTGTGACTTTATGGCGTTTTAGTCACGAGCTGAAGTTAGCAATAGTGGCTTTTGGTCATTTTAGTCACGGGCTGAATTAGAAAAAAGTGAGGTTAATTTCGTTGACATTTGAAAGATGTCAAATGTTTAACAAATAAAATTGGATTTAATTTCTGCTTTGTGGTCGTCGTAGATAAATTATAGTATGCAACACGCTTTATAAACTTATCTAGACACTCGTTTTTATTAAACACTCGCTTGCAAGCTTCGCTCGTGCTTAATAAAACTCGTAACTAAAATGGCGTTTACAAATCTAAACTAAATATACATAATATAATATTATCTACTTCTACATTGACAAGCTGTGACTTTATAGCGCTTTAGTCACGGGCTAAAGTTGGCAATAAGTAGTGGCTTTTGGGCATTTTAGTCACGGGCTGAAATTAGCTTTATTATATATTAGAGAAAAGTGAGGTTAATTCCGTTGACATTTCACAGATGTCAAATGTTTAACAAATATAATTGGCTTTAATTTCCTTTTTGTGATCGTCGTAGATAAAGTATACTTAGTATGCAACTCGTTTTATAAACTTATCTAGACACTCGTTTTTAATAGGCTTCGCTCGTGCCTTATAAAACTCATAACTAAAATGGCGTTTATAAAACTTGATACATAATACCTATACTATTACATAAAAGATGCCACAGACGATGGTTGATTGACCTACTTTGCGACACGAAATCACATATAGTAAATTTAAAAGTAAACTACGTACACGTCATCAATCAGCTGATCGGGCACGGTTGTCAATGTGATGCTAAAATCCTTGCATCAAGGGAAAGTGGTAGTGCTACTACAGGGCGATAGATGGCGTTTACATGAATAATACCAAAATGTCAAAAGTCTGAGCTTTTATAACCTATATGATGCACCGCCAAAAGTATGTTTTTAGCTATTTTTAAAGACATTTTCTGATATAAAACCCAAAAATTTTGCCATCTAAAGTCAGTCTCTGGTATATATATTATTATTTCATGTATCCAACATATATTTTGTTAAATATTCTAATATATAATTAATAATAATTAATCCTATTTACCTCTCTAACAGCTGTTAAAGGTAACGTCCATTATTATCCCGTTCTGCCTCAAAATAGCGTATTAAGGATGACACCAACTCTTGACTCCGACTATTTAAATGCTTCGGCATTTTAAATATTAGGAAACACAAACACAAACGATATAGGTATAACAAACACAAAAACGGCAATGAAAACTTAAACGATATAAAATAACACAAACAACAAACAAAATAAACGAAATAATACACGAATTTAACGAAATATTCAAAAACACAACTGACAGCTTCGAAATTCTAAAACGTCAAATTCTTTTTTATGTGTCATTTAAATATGAAAAATTTGAATGTAAACATGACAACATCACAATTGTTGCCAACTTAATTTGGTTAAAATGCATTCAAATATTCAATTACAGACTTCGATTTAGTCATTTAGTGTTGGTACCAATGCGTAAAAATTTTGTTTTATTGATGACGTGTACGTAGTTTACTTTTAAATTTACTATACTTTAGTGCGCATGCGTACCTACAAATTTGATTTTTTCGTAAAAATAATAATTATTTTTACGAAAAAATCAAATTATTGTGAAAAGAATTTCTACGTCATTAGCTACAGGTGAAAGAAAATTTTTCATTGTATAATGTTTTATAAAATCGTATACAAATTTGTAAAATTTCACAGAAATAAAAAGATTATGTAAAAAAGTAATCCTACTAAATTTGAGTAAAACTACCAGATTATTTAAATGCAATAAAAAAAATTAATTTATTGGAATCTCTTGTCAATAATTTTCACTTATCTCTTTTGAATATTTTTTACTTTTTCAATAATACAATAAAATCACATATTTTCAAAAATTAACAATTTATTCTCATAAAAATAATGATAATTTTGCAGTCAAAGTAAAAAATCGAAAAAATTACTTTAAGTTCAATTTTAACCTTAAATAACTTTGAAACAAGTAAATTTATCGAAAAATCATAGGAGAGCTTTTTTGTACAGCGTTCAATTTCCTATAAAATATGTATGACTTATTGCTGTATAGTAACTTGCTCGGAACAAAAAAAATAAATGTAAAACTTGGCGAAACCCCATGTTATATAAATGGAAAATGTATCATCTTTGTGGCATGGTTTAATATGAATTTTTTTTTTATAATTTTTTTAGGTCATAAACTAATAATTTAGGGGGCGCTGCGAACAAAAAAAACAAGTTGGTAAATAACGGACACCCTAATGTGTATATTGCTGAATTCAGAACTTTATAATCTGATCGAATCTGCAAAAAAAGGTGGGGTACAATTTAAAAAAACGGCCGATGACGTAATAGATTTTACAAAAATGGCAGCAAATATGAAAATTTTACATCAAAATGTGCGGAATTAAAAAGCAAAATCGACGTATTTTTTTGGGGAAAAAGGCACATTTTTGAATGAATTTGGTTCGCGATTGATTTATAAACAAATGATGTAAAATGTATCGTACTTCCTCTACTTATTGAAGTTCTTACACCGCCGGCGTTTATTATAGCAATTGATGCGGATGTCCAAGCTCCTTCTTCAGCTTTCTCAATGTACTAAAATGAAGAAAATTAAATGTTTTTTAATGATCAATATGTTACCCACATTGTAAACAAATGCATCCGTAAGCATATTACCAAGAGTGCATTCTTTGGTGTAGCAGGTATTTCCATCCAAGTCTACCAGAGAAGTTCCTAGAACTTTAGTTCCAATTTGATCGATTTCTTCCTTCCACGATTGCATTTCCTTCTCTATATATTCACCTAAATGAAGCGTCTTAGCAAAAAAATAAAGAGTTATAATGTTTGTTACTTTTGGGAGACGTGGTGTCCAAAAATATGGGTGCACCTTCCCAATCCGCCACTTCACCATTGAGTTTATAGGAGACGCTTATGTTTCCAATGTATTTGCAAAAAGCGGCAGCTTGTGTTATCAAAACTTTTTTCCCGTCTTTTCTTGATACAATCGTTGGATACGGACCTACCACCTTGTCAGGTCCGGGGGCCTTTTCTTAAATACAAACAAGTCTTTACCCTGATAGCAAACTTTATTCTAAGAATGTTTTTTAAACCTTCCAGTGAGAATATTCTTAGGATCATGCTATATTTCTTCTAAAGAACATGCTTAAAAGACATATAGCATGATCCTAAGAATATTCTTACTGGCCTATAGGCAGGTTCTTAGAAGGTGCAAAGTTTTAGTGGTAAAAATTAGTCTACTCTAAACATATGCTTGGAATGTTAAGAAAGTTATTGCTATAGAAAGTTCATTTAGGAATATTCCTGTTAAGCATATTTAGTTCAGTTACCTATATAATAATAAAATATACCATAAACTATAAAGGTATATACCTATACTTAAGTACCTAATTAGTAATTAGTAATTAGTATTAAATAGGTACTAAGTAAAAAATACAATCCAAAATATTTTTTTGTTATTTGTCAAATTTAAACAATATTCGATGACAAAAATACTTTAACTATAGGTATTTTATTTTATGTTAAAAATAAATATTTATTAATTTGTATACCGATTTTTTATTTCTGAATCTCTAATCTCACAAAATTTTCCAATTTTACTTTTTATGAAATACGTTTATACAACTTATGGTTTAGTGGTCAAATTGTTTATTAAATATTTCGCAAAATTTTTTAAGGGGACGACAAATACATTTCACTGTCATAATATGACAGTGAGGCGTATTTGTCGTCTCCTGAAGAATTTTACGAATGTAGAATACAAAATATTAGAACGAGGGTATCTGACATACACTCACAGGCAAAATAATCGATCCACACAAATTTTCGATAAATTTCAATCGCAAATAACTTTTTTATTTGATTTCGGATTTAAACAAATATTAAGGAATATTGTAGATACATTAATAAAGAATCGCTCACATTTTAAAAATTACTAAAAAATAGACGTACGTTTATAATATACAGGTTTAAACAAAAATATGTTTTTTACCATAAGTTTAAAACACTCTGTAGAGTGGCAAAACCGTATATTGTTCTAAATTAAGTTTTAATTATTAAGTCGCATCTATTTTTAACAGTTTTGTTTTTGGTTCACCTTGATATATTTATTTTTGTGGAAATAATGGATTTTTTAAAAAATACATTGCAATTTCCAATATTTTTCCTGTATGAAGAACTAAGGTTGCTATGGTCCATCCATAGCCTATGGAGGATGACAGTGACAGTTTTGTTGAATCATCCCATACTTGGACATGTCATATACATCTTTCAAAAGCTATCAAATTGTTTTTTGTAAATTAATGTGTTAATTTTGAGGTGTCTTCATACTTTTAAAAATGTCTCCGACTGATGTTGCCCTTTGTGCTTTACTTCTTGTGACGTTTAAAACACTTGCCACGTAATACTGTAACCCTCCATCCTGGATTAAATTAATGGCTCTGGCAACATAAGTCGGAGACATATCCATTTTTTAAAGTAGGAAGACACCTCAAAATTTAAACATTAATTTGCAAAAAACAATTTGATAGCTTTTGAAAGTCGTGTATGACATGTCCAAGTATGGGATGATTCAACAAAACTGTCACTGTCATTCTCCACAGCCTATGGATGGACCATAGCAACCTTAGTTCTTCATACAGAAAAATATTGGAAATTGCAATGTTTTTTTAAAAAATCCATATTTTCCACAAAAATAAATATATCGAGGTGAACCAAAAACAAAACTATTAAGAATAGATGTGACTTGATAAATAAAACTTAATTTAGAACAATATACGGTTTTGCCACTCTACAGAGTGTCTTAAACTTATGGTAAAAACATCTTTTTGTTTAAACCTGTATATTATAAACGCACGTCTATTTTTTAGTAATTTTTTAAAATGTGAGCGATTGTCCATTAATTTATCTACAATATTCTTTAATATTCGTTTAAAGTGTATTTGGAAATATTCTCAAAAGCTTTCTAGAAGCTCCATAAAAAACCTTCTAAGAACATTCCAAAAACGTATTTTTAAAATTTTCTTAGGATGCTTTTTAGGAAGGTTTTAAGTAGCTTTTAAGAATCTAATTGCATCATTAAAAGGGTATCTATTGAATGTTATAAAAGTCCCTAAAAACATTCTTAGCAATAAGGGAAGGTTCTAAGAATATTCCATTATTCCGGGGAATATCTTTTTAGAAGATTCTTAAAATCAAATTTTGCTATCAGGGTAATAAATCCCACGATGGTTAATAACAAAGAGTTCTTACCACCAGTATAAAGAAAGCTATGCGAATGAGCACCAACAATCAGAGAAACTTTTGAGGTGGCGTTTTTGGCAATAGCTTTATCTGCGTCATAGCCACAATGTGATAGAACTATAATGGTGAAAACATCATCTTCAGCTACCAATCTTTCAGCTTCAGCATTAACGCTCGCAGACTCATCGAGGAATTTCAATTTTCCCACACTTGAAATGTTCTTGAACAAAATAAATTAGCCATGATTTGATTTTGTTGCTTAGGATTTATTACAGGGGTGTCTATTGATGTAACACCGATAACTCCAATTTTTTTCCCATTTCTTTCAATGATCGTGCTTTTGGTGTATAATTTTTGGAAATCTGGTTCTAACGAATCGTCGATGTTTGAAACAACCACTGGAGCGTTTATAGCTCTCATGAAAGGGGTGATTCCTTGAATTCCGTCATCAAACTCATGGTTACCCAATACCTAAATTAAAATGAGTCATTTTATCTCTATCAATCCTTAAATTTAATGAGCAACACTAATGCTCCCATTGCGATCTCCAAGGTCGCAATAAAACTTTGAATAAAACCAAATGATCTTTAAGCCAGCCTTAGGACTACTATAAAGCAGCTTATAGCCAAAAATGGCCCATCCCAAAAGGGTTTTATTTTGTTTACTCTTCATTTTAAAATTGAACTTATATATGAGTTCGAGGCCCATGTGGGCGAATGAAATCCTAACATTACAAATTGTGCAGTTTTTTTTTAAATTACCACTTTGTTGATCGCACCGAACTCTAGGACTGCATTCTACACATTAAAATAATTTTAAAAAATTAAATGTTCTTCTTCGATTCTCATTGTTTTGAAGTTATAGCCTAATTAAAAAATAAATAAAATGAAACGGTAACATTTGTTTAATGGTTATGGACTTTTTATAAGGTGTTCAAAAATACCCCCATTGAGTTCTAAACATGCTCTGCTTGTCCTATTAACTCTTGTTTTTCTTTAAGAACTGCGCCAGTTAATTATTCGTTGAATTAGTGCCTCTCGATTATTTACTTTAACTTCTGTTTTAAACCAACCCCATAAACAAAAATCTAGTGGTGTTAGATCTGGACTTCTTGGAGGCCAACTAATTGGACCTCCGCGACCAATCCAACGCTCTGGAAACATTTCATCCAAGTGTTGCTTGACCTCACGAGCGAAATGTGCAGGGGCTCCATCATGCTGATAGTACATTCGCCTTCTTACGTTTAAAGGAACATTCTCTAGTAATCCTGGCAACTCATTTATTAAAAAATTAAGGTAGTGTTCCCCTGTGAGGCGATTCTCCATGATAAAAGTTCCAATTAAATACCCAGCAATCATAGCACACCACACATTTACTGAAAACCTGTGCTGAAAATTGGTTTCGACTATAGTATGGGGATTTTCCTCAGACCATACGTGAGAGTTGTGCGTATTATTAATGCCGTCACGGGTAAATGTTGCTTCATCAGTAAAAAGTATACGCGATACAATTAGGGTTGCCACCTTTTAAGCTTGGGGTTGGAGGACATGGACATTTTTTAAAAGCCCGCTTCAAAAAATTTTACCAAAAAAAAAGGGGCCGTTGCCAAAATCAAAACAAATTCAACAGAAATGACCAAGGACCTATCCCTTGCAATATTAACTTTATTAACTAGAACATTAAACTAATATGTTGCAGTCAGATAAAAATAATAACATAGTAAATAACCCAGACTGCAATGAAGGTGCGAAAATATTCCAGGAATATGCCCTATAATCTAGGAATAATCCGCTTCATTCTAGGAATATTTATTGGGAATATTCCATAGAATGATCCTCTAAAACTTCCAAGCACCATCTAAGAACATTCAGTGAATATTCATAACGCATTTTAAAAAGCACTAGGCAACCCACTATACAGATACCGGCCAACATCATTTTTTATTGTTTGCAAGCCTGTTATTTTATTGGTTTACCGAGAAAAATGTTCAGAGCACAATAAAATACATAGAAAGGAGGACATATTTTATTTAAAAGAGGACGAAGGACGTGATGTTATCAAAAGAGGACTGTCCTCCACAAAGGAGGACAGGTGGCAACCCTAGATACAATTCTACGATTGTTAGTTACCCACCGACAAAATTTCACACGTTTAGCATAATCTTCCGGGTGTAGAAACTGGTATATACCATATGGGTATAATTAGGCTTAAGCCTTGCTCGTGAAGTGTGTGTATTACCCGTTTTTGTGAAATGTCCAATTGAGTAGCGATTCTTCTGGTGCTGGTCGTTGCATCTTCTTCCACTAGATCCAAAATATTTTACACTTCTTCTAAAGTTTGTCGATCAGCTTTTTCAGATGTTATTTTAGCACTTGGAAGAGTTAAAAACTCGGATAAGAACAGTTGAGTTTTTTTATTATTATTTTGATGTGTAGAATGCAGTCCTAGAGTTTAGTGCGATCCTTCCGATTCACCCTGTATGTTCCAATTTTCTTTCACGTATAAAGAAGAAACACGAACCGCACTGGTTCACTAAATTAGCTCATTCTGAAGATGGCTTTATCCGAAAATTGACTAAATTTAAACCTTTAAGATTTAAATGTACCTACTATGTGAAACGTAAAAATTATGTTTTTGGATTTGAGATACAATAGTTTTCTTAATGGGTTTTAATGAGTACCTACATCAAGGGTGCTCCATAAAACTACATTAAAACTATTTGTTCCAAAATGGATTGTTTTAAAACCGATTGCTAATCCTTTAAAAAGCACAATAGTTTTAAAATGAGCAATATCGAAAGAATTATAAAACCAGTATTAGATCGATAGGGCATTAAGAGCAAATAGTTTTTTTTATTTTAATTTAAATTATTTGCATAAGAATAAGTGGCCTTATAGAACTTTTAAGAATTTTTTCTTAAGATAACTTTAAAACCAATATCATTTTATTAAACATTTTAAACCTTAAATAAATTAAAAGTATCTTACAATTGTTACTTGGGATTTAACCCGGACCACCCTGTATATACAATGTATGTAAATTATACATATAACAAAAATTATAATTTATAATAATTATTAACGAAATTATTGACATTTGTATGTAATTCAAAAGGAAATTTTAAATAAAAAATAAATTTAAGACAGACGCGATATAAACTTTATAGTTTATTAATTTATTTTCATGATAAAATTATTTATAGTTTAACGTTATATTTTAAAATACTTACAATTACGTCAAATTTAAGTTTATTCATAAAATATTGGGTCACGTTCCACTTAAAAACACTGTACCAAAGTGTACCCTGGAAGTTATCACCCCCATTAAGTAAAATTAAACTGGGATCTTCGTTTCTCAAGGAAGAAATCTCTTCAAATTGCCTCGAAAATCCACCAATGCATTTTTCGTCGGCACATCTTCCTCCAAGTTCATTTGTCTCTTCAAACCTAAAATTGTTCTCTTTGAAGATAAGTGGCCTCCTCGATGTCCAGACCTCATTCCGTGTAAAATCCGAGTTGAAAATTAATTAATTAAGTTTACCTGGCGTGAAAATCGTTTATATGTGCCACATGAATTTTAAATAGGTCCTCATTTTTTAAAGGATGCCCATAAACCGAATGTGCACTAACGACAAATAAAAATAGGCAAATTGGCAACATTGTGTTGCCTTAAAGTATCTTAAACTAATAATAATTTTATATACGAATAAAATAAAGATTATATACTTTAACCAAATGATAAAACTTGTGCATAGTACTTATACCTAAATAAAAAAATGCATTAAATTAATAATTATTATTCTTACCAACTTATCGAAATATTGTAAACAATATTGAGTGGGTTGTAAGTGGCGTTCACAAATTGCATTATATTGCATTTTAATTGTTTATATCTACAGGGTGGCCAGTTTATATCATTATGCCCACAATACACACAACAAGGTATGTTCGATCTCGTACTAAAAATCACTGCAACACTGCACATCATTTAATGGCGGCCATTTTTGTTGTTTACAATTTTTGTGCTTTGGGTTTGTACAGATTAATAATCGTTTTAAACGTTGCCCAAGCAACAATTTTGGTCGAAATAACCTATTTTCGACCCCCTGTAAGGCAATCGACCATTTAATACCATCCCTGTTAAAGGCAAATTTACGTTACAGTTACTTAATATTTTCGTAAGTGGGGAATAAAAAGTTATTAAATTTAAGGTATTTTGGAAGTAGAAGAAGGCATTGTGACCAAGACTGTTATTGCAAAGCTGCCCAATTTTAAGTTGCTGTGACGTAAAATAGTGGTAATCTATAACCAATTATCAACCTGTAAGTCCTTTTAGTTCGATCCCACTCTCCGCTATTTTATCTCTGTCAAAATAATGCTAAAAATATAGGTACAAGTTAACAAACACTATTAGGACCATAAATATATCTTTAAAGTCCATTTTTAAAATGGGTATTTTGAGTTACCTAAGGGCTAAATTAATGGGCGAGTTAAATTTTGTTGTCAAATATCCTTACTGTAGCGCTAAATAACAGAAGCGCCCTTGAAAATACTTAAGAAAAACATTTGTTTTTAATTTTTGTCAATTTGGAATTTTCCTTATTTTATTTTATGGAGCGCTGAAAAGGTGGTTTTTCAGTTCGTTAGTTTTTTTAAGTTGTATAGAGCCCAATTTTAGAAAAAAAATCTCAAACAGTGGTTAGATAAAATTATTTTTTCCTTTAATACTTTGGTGTAAACTGTTTTGGTTATCAGAAAAGATGGCGATTTCGACCTATTGAACTTAAAAACATAATTTCCCTATAATTTGGACCTGTAAAATAAATGTCCCTAATGTTCAGTTAAAATAACCTAAATTACTGCCTATGTAGTCGATATGTCTTAATAAGGGAATAAATATTGTGAGGTCTATTAGCAATTGCACAATTATGCCCTATTTTTAACCATAAATGCCCTATTTTCAACCATAAAGTAAATTAGTGCCCAGATTTCGACTTTGTAGGCCATTATCATAATTGCGCATGCGTATAATAAAAATGTCAACAGCTGTAGCAAGCCTAGTTGCTCGTGTGTATAGTTAACAATGGGAGACTATTTTAAAATAGTTGCTATAATAAATAAAAGAATGAACAAGTGTACTGTGGAATAAAGTTTTATTCCACTTAAGTGGGAAGAAGATGGTAACGTGAATTAATGATGATGTTTTTAGTAGGGTTCTGCCGTCTTTAGGCAAATCAAGACCACAACCTCTAAGAATATCCAACAAATGCGTTGTGGCATCTAGGTTTATTTTATGAGACAACGCCCAATTAGTTAATTCTTCTATTACAGAAAGCTTTTTGCCTAACAGTTCTTCTTCCCTTTTGCTAAAATTATCTTCGCAAGGGATTAAATCAATTTGCCCTTCGTTAAAAGTGTTCCGATGTGTTTTCACAAAAAATATTTTCCGTACAAACTGATTTCTTGATAGTAAGTGGACCGGTTGAAACACTGGATAAGTTTACAGCATTGTTAACATTTCCTTTTCGTAATATTAAACATTTTTTCAACTTGCGATAATAGCTAGTGGTCAGCCTGTACGGCTTGAAACACTTTCGCGACATCATGCTAGTTCCAGCGCTCACAACAACAAAAACAGAACTAACTTTAAATTCTAAATAAGTCCAAAGGACCTGTTAGTCTAAATGAGGTGGTAAATTCGACCTCTATATAACCGCATCGACTTACAGGACCAATATTGTAGTAAGTTAGATCTTAATTAAGGTACATCACTTAAATATAAATAGGTAAAACTTAACCCGACCCCTAACCAAAACATGCCTTAACCAAAACTTTAGGCAATTAGGGTTAGAATTACTAAATTTGTCCTTACGAATTTTGTACGAATAGTTGGTTGAAAATTGGTAAATTAATAGAACAGTCTGACTAACGGTTATCCCCTGTGATTTACCATTATGGATATAAATACATATAGGGAGATGAAGAGGGGTACATTAGGTAACTGGGACCAATTATTTTTACTATGAAGGCAGGGAAAATGTTGGTAACTTGTAATGGGCAACGTATCCATAATTGGACCAGGAAACAAAAATTTGAAGTCCGAGGGCTTTGAGGGAATATGTGCAAGCCAAAAAGAACCAGTTCTTTACCTATTTTTCGCCCACAAATAAATGTCGACCTCAAACACAAAAGTTTGGTTAAATTTTTGTAAATTTCAACCCTTTTAGGGCAATTTGGTGCTAGTATAGACACTATTCGACTTATTTTGTTGCTTGGGTGTGTTTCTTACAAAGAGACTTGCAAGCCTTAAAAGAGACCTCAAAGTGGTAAGAACAATCATTCTACTCCTCTTTTGTAAAAATTAAACCTTATTCTATCAGGGCTGTCAAATGTCAATTTTAATGTTATTTTATAACCCACAAATTAACCTTTAAATTGACATTTGACAGCCGTATAGAATAAGGTTTATTTTTACAAAAAAAAGTAAAATGATTGTCCTTACCTTAAATTTAAAGATTTTAGTTTTTTTCTTATAAATATAATATTGCTTGTTTAAACTTTATTTAGGTTAACTTAAAAATAAGAATATTTGAATTTTTAATAATAATTTTATGAAAACATGCAAAAAAGTATAGTAATTTGACTTTTTATATAGTAATTGGGCATACAATTTTTATTTAAAAATAATGGTGTTTTAGGTATTTTTTTTTATTTCGATTTTGTAAATATCATATAATTCATATATTTCTTTCTCTTTTTTGGCTACTGAAGGTAACTACTAATTCCTTATGAAATAGTTTGTTGCAAATATTATTAAGTAGGTATGGTATTTCTAGTTTGTGAAGCATATGTGAAGCATAAATATTTATAATGTTTAGGCCAGAACATGATGATTTATATATAATATTTCTTCGGGTGGTATGTTAAAAGTATTTTCCGAATTTATTAATTTTGTTGCCTTTCGTTTTTTAAGTTCTCTATCATGCGCTGTATTTAAATCACTGTTATTCTACAAGATGTCCTGTGACGAAGAAATCACTATATTACTTATTCTCTAAAAATGAATTAGTCAAACATGTCATAGCGAAAAAGCAGCCACTAATAATTCTCGTCAACAGCAATTTGTATCCAGGACATTTAGCAGTCAATTCCTATGAAATATTATTCGCTGAACCCGAAAATGTCTTTGTTTGTTACTGCAAACTCTGCATCACTGGTTCGGTACTTTTGGGTTTTGAAATAATTAGTTTTTAACTTAAACTATATATTGAAAATATTGTCTTTACAAACTGATTAGGTAATTGACAAAAGCATCGTGCTTACATTTCAAGCGCTTTGTTACCAATTGCCGCCCCTTTTCTCCCGCTCATCCCTTCCCCACACACTTGTCTGTTTTAGTTTCTTTGAGGTAGATGGCGCAAGTAATTTTAATTTAAAATGTGGCGCAAACAGTCTTCAAAAGTTATAAAAGTAGAACAGTTTTTGAAATATAATCAATTTTACATATAATATGGAATTGACCACAATCCACACAACAAGGTCTGTTCTATGTCGTACTAAAAATATAAAAAATCACTGCAACACTACACAGTTTAACGGCGGCCATTTTTGTTGTTTACAATTTTTGGGCTTTGGGTTTGTGCTCTGTTTATACAGATTAATAATCGTTTTAAACGTTGTGTTTCTCATAGTAAGCCTTAAAAGAGGCCTTAAAGTGCTTAGAACAACCATTTTACTCCTCTATTGTAAAAAATAAACTTTATTCCATCATAGCTGTCATAAAACTATCAAATGTCAATTTTAAGGTTAAATTATAACCCACAAATAAACCTTCAAATTGTCATTTGACAGACCTGATAGAATAAGGTATATTTATTATAAAAGAGGAGTAAAATGGTTGTCCTTAGCACTTAAAGGCCTTATTTGAGGCTTACAAGTACTTCTATAAGAAACTCAACGTTTAAAACAATTATTAAACAGCACAAACCCAAAGTACAAGAATTGTAAACAACAAAAATGACCGCCGTTAAACTCTGTGCAGTGTTGCAGTGATTTTTAGTATTTTTAGCATGAGATAGAACAGACCTTGTTGTGTGGATTGTGGAATTGACTATATCTCAAAAACTGCTTTTGTTTTATAGTTTTTGACGGTCTTTTCGGATTCAGGGAACAATTTTACATAAAAATTGGCTGGTAAATGCCCGGGATATTAATAGAGTATGATATTGGACATTTGTCCAATAATGGAAATTTACATTTTCTACCAACCAGTAATTGGACACTGGCCATTTTACTGTTTGTTTTTAGAATTAAAATTAAAACGCATTAAAGTGAAAAGGTTTAAACCAAGAGGAACACATTTATACCACACACTGATCTGTACACTTTTTAGAAATATTTTTTATTGTAATTTGAACACAGCCCTGCTCTTAACCAAAAAAACAACGTTGCCGCAGTCCAGCTAAAAAAAATTAACTTTATTTACCATTTTATTGTTTTTATTATCTATGATTTTGTCCTCGATGTGTCATTTTTAATTCATATTGTCAAAACTATTAAAAATCTTGACATTTTTTAAAACCAATTTTACAATTCGTAGACAAACCCAAACTGAAATCACAATTTAAGCAGAATGATCAATATAAGCAAAGCTGAAATCAGAATTTGATAGTTAATCGTCAGTGGTCGAAAACTACTCCAATAAAATGAAGAACCCCACCAGTGTTGGGGTTTCCAATCACGCCCTGTTTTTGAACGAAGCCCTACTGAATTTTGTGGCAATAGGTCGGTCCGGGGGTGCGGAATATTTCGAAGACGGCCAACGAAAAGTCCATTACGTGCTGGTGATATACAGAACATCGACGCGGAAAAATTACATAGTCATCCAGGATGTGCTAAGGCAGTTGGAGGATTTGGGGTTGGAATTTGAACAAGATCTTGGAATAGTATGTGTCACAAAGTAAAATTAAAAAAAAAAGATTTGGCTCCACGGATGTTACGGTGTCCCTAAATAACTTTTAATTGAAAGGTTCATACGTATCCGATTTTTTTTCATATTTTGATAAAAAACTACCTACAAGACAATTTTTTTTTCAGGATAAACTCAATTCGCTTGGCACTTTTTTAGAAAAATCAATTTTTATAAAAACATTAATGATTTTTAATCAATTTTTTGAGATTTTTAATTAGTGAACTCCAAATAATGACAGCTTTTAATGTATTTGTTACATAAAATGTGCAATTTATTAGACTAGTGAACTATTGACAACTATTATTATTTTTTTCCATTATGCTTACGAGATTTTTATTGGCTTTTACATGATATGCATATTATGCCACTTTAATATAAAGCCAAACCAAAGAAATTTATGTAAGCTCAACCTAGATGATGTAAATGATTTCGAAAAATTTGATATAATCTAAATTTTATTGACAATTCGTATCATACGTGGATATATTACTATAAACGCATAATGATACGGCAAATCGACAAAATTTCCCTCAAAAAAGGAAACAAGGACATCTATACAAAATATTGCCAATAAGTGTGGTAGTGGGTGGTTGAATAATCTAGTGGCTCTATCCACGTATTGATGGGTGTCTGGGACAACCATTGTTTTGAAAAAGAGTTTACTTAGAAAACGGAACAATGGGTGACAATCTTTTTTACTTTTTTTTAATTCCAGACAATTCCTGTAAATTTCATCAAAATTCACATGAACAACGAAGTGGCCAGGCAATTAATCAACGCCTACGACATTCAAAAAGAATATTTGGATGATTTTAATTACACAGATCCCAATCCTAGAGATTGCGCTTTTTTTAAAGACCCCCTGCTTACCAGAGACCCCTTTGCCAATGAAAGGTGATTCTTTTATATTTTTTATTTTAGGTCACAGACATTCATTACATATTTTTTCTACTTCCACCTTCAAAACGCCCATTATCGTACATTTTTCCATGACACTAAGTGACCTTTTAAATACACATTGAAAAGTTGTGGCTTTATGGCGTTTTAGTCACGGGCTGAAGTTAGTTTTAATTTAGTTGACAGATGTCAAATGTCATACAATCGTTAAAATAAAGTGCCTTTCTTGTAAAATAATACTAAATGTGAAAATTATTTTATTATCTCAATACAAAAATACAAAAGTATTAAATATTTTCTCAACTATTTGAAAAGTATATATGAACATTGTACTGACCTTTTAATTTCTCCGGCAGTAAACTATAACTTAAATTCGGGCTCGGGCTCCACTGTGAGGTGCTCATAAAACATTTTCTTTACTTTCACTGCGAAAAACTTTTAATTGTTAATCCATTTTCAAGGAATACATTTCGATTTATTACCTTAATAATCTCCCTGGCGAAAATGAAATGTGCAAAAAGTGTGCAAAATTATTTGAGAACAATGTGCCAACAATGTGCAATCTTTTAAAAAAATGATGTGCGGAGGGTGGGAAATGGAACATAAAACAATGTGCAAAACTAAAAATTTAAAAGTGTGAATAATCACTGGACAATGTTCTAAAGGGAACTCCTTTTGATTTTTCACATTGTTTGCACACTGTTTCTTGCCACCTGTGTGCCTATTACAAAAACAGATTCTTTTTGGTGACCTATAAAGTTTTTTAAATTTACACATAATTGAAATATGTATAAATATAATTATAATAATATTAATCAAATAAATATTTTTTTCAAAAAAAAAACCCACAATGTAGGTTCTACATACTGTATTTTATTAAAATAAATACCTGCACTGTCAACTCCACGAAGGGGATTGCTTTGATCTTAGCGATACATAAGATGGAATCTACCTCACCTTTTAAATAAATGTTGTACCCCAACTCAAGCGAGATATATCTAAAATGTGCTTAAACTGTTGAGTGATCGCTAAAACTGTACAAACAATGTGCTATAAAAAGGTGTAATATAGATGTAATATAAGCGTCATAAATATTAAAGCGTGCTAACAGTGTGCATAAAATGTGACATACGCAAGATAGACTGAAGCTTTGCAAAATATCTTTAAACAATGTACTAACACTGTGCTAAAATATAATGTAATATAAGCGTGACATATGACATATAAAAAGCGTGATGTCAATGTATATAAAGAGTGAAAAAACTTAATTATTTCAAAAAGTGTGAAATTACCACAAAGTAGCGTGTATGCACATTGTTATAAAGATGCACTCCAAATACACACTTATTGCACACTTTTTATGCACGCTTTATTTTCGCCAGCTGTGTTTATAACACATATAAATTCGCGGGTCTCATGTTGGACAGCACTAACATAAATAAATATTTTTCCCCATTTGAAACAGTAGTCCATCGACCCGATTGTATTATCTTTTTGACTTTTAGCATTGAAACTCTCTCTGTGAACAAAATGAGAATAATTTTTAGAATGCTGAAACATGTTTCATTCGGACCCGAAGATGATATGCACGGCATAGAAAAATTAAAAAGAAAAGGCATATTTAAAGCCGCTTACCCAATGCACGATGGGAAAATTCAAATAGAATACTGGCATAACGATGATTTAATAAATGAAAGAACGGTACATTTTTTATAGTATAGCAAACGGAAAAATATAGAAGTGTATTGGATGACGCCACGTTTGAATACAGTTTTCTAAACCCTAGCCACGGTTGAATTCGTCAGTCGAGCGTTTCAATACTCTCAACAGTATAGAGATCGTAATTTTACTTTTAGTATTAATATGAAAATTATTTTATGCTTGAAAAAAAAAACTATACGAGGTGTGTTCAGAAAATATCGGGAATTTTCGTTTTTTGAAACAAATATTTATTTATTCGTCTACATTAATATTGTCGCCTTCAAAATAGTCCCCATTGGATATTATGCACATGTGCCAGATCTTCTTCCAATACTCGAAACACTTCTAAAACTAGATCTTTGGGATAGCCTTTAGTTCTTTCAGCGATGCGCTTTTAATGTCATCTGTGCTTGCAAAACGACGGCCCTTTAAGGTTCTCTTTATTTTTGGGAATAGGAAAAAGTCAGACAGAGGCATGTCTGGCGAATATGGAGGCTGGGGCATCATTACAGTATTGTTTTTGGGCAAAAATTTTGTTCAAAATTTAACAATTTTAGAACAAATTTTGCTGCCACGCGTTTCATACCCAAAACATTCGAAAAAATTTCATGGGATGAGACAATCGATATACCAACATCATCAGCGACTTATAACCATTTCTTCCACTTTTTCTATGTTTTTATCGGATCTTAATGTGCTTGTGCTTCACGGGCATCTTGGAAACTCTTATACCACTTGTAAACTCTTGTTTTACTTATAGCAGACTCACTATAGGCCTTTGTTAACATTTCACAGAATTTATTTCATTTTTTAAGCAAAATTGGATACAAATTCTTTGATCCATTTCTTTTAACGAACGAAAAATCGCCGAGCTCATAAAACACGTCTAACCTTAGCGGCTGCCACAGACAAAGTAAACAATGAAAACAGCTAAAGTTTTTATCATACTTCGGGGGCATGTATACCAACATAATAAAGAAATTTTTATAACAACCGGACCCTCCGAACCCGCGAAATTTAACAATTCCCGTTATTTTCTGAACACCTCGTATACGACATGATTGTGATTTTTTCATTTTATTAATTAATTAAGCCATATTAAATATTTTTCCTAAAGGAATAATTGCCAATGGGCCATTAATTCATTTGTTCGTAGATGCTACCTAACAATAACCTGCACTGGTGTGTACTTTTTGATCAACCAGATTTAAATATTGCTGTACTAACAAATACCAGTGGAGATAGTGGATGGTCTACCAACAGACATCAGTACTAAATTATAAAGTTTAGCATATCGATCGTTTTTTCAACATAACATCTAAAATTTGTAATACATTTGCAAATACACTTTAAAATATACTTTACATCATATAAATAAAAATCAGACAAAGGAACCAAAGAAAGGAACTGTTTTCAACAAAATTATATGCAGAAATGAGAATATTCAAAATACTTGCATCCATCAAAAGATCAAAACTTCTTGCAATATTGAATTACACCCTCTTTTTATACTCTTAGAAATATTGACTAGAACAGTATTAGAGAGACCGTTGCGATATTGCATTGCGCTGTTTTTTTATAATTCTCGGGGACATTAACGAAAATGATTGCCAGTAAAATTCGAAAAGCTTGAGTTTCTATGTCTTTGAAGAGAATAAGAATACTAAGTTGCTGCACCATAGGACTGCCCCCTTTTTTAATAATTTCTAGAGACTATAAATGACTGCACCATTCGACAGGGTCGATTTCTACCACCCTGTTGAATATAGAAAATTAAAAGAATGTATCTTGTAAAACACTATTGAGTTTGACTTTAACTATAGTAGTGCATAGGTATAGAGGCGAAAAATATAAAAACAAAGCACGATTCAATACAGTTTTGATAAAACTTTAAGAATTAGTATTCAAACGGGGAGTCATCCTATACCCTTCTATATTTGTCCGTGTGCTGTGTAGGCAATCCTTCGTAGATAAACATAACCATTATTTTTAGTTATTGGCAAAATATTGGAGCTCCGTGTCCAAATGGTACAAAGTGCAACCATTTAACATGATTCACAAGTATTATGGCGCAGAAATAGCGTTTTACTACGCTTGGTCCGATTTTTACGACAAAGTTTATTATTTCCCCCTTGCCATTATTGGAGTTTTAGTGTTTATGCTTAATTCAGCCTATTTTTCCAGAAAAAGTCAACGCGATTTGTAAAAACTAAATAAATTACACGGTGCTGTTCTGAGAGGTGATTTTTGGACTTTCTGTGAAACCTAATTTTTTTTATATTCTTGTTAATTAGGTCATAACTAAAATTTTAAGAGCAAAATAAAAAAAATTTGACGGTTAATTTTGTTTTAATTGGATGTTTATTACAAATATGTATGCACACTTTCAATTCTCCAATTAAAACTTGCGATTTTATTTAAATATTATCATAACTTTTTAAATCAGATTAAAGATTAGTTAATTTCCTTAAAAAAGGTCTATACATTTTTTATATCTTTTACTGTTTTGTTGTAATACACGTTTAAAGTTTTAATTTAAGGTTAAATGTATAGTATACATTTATTAAACAATAATTCTAAGGGTGCCACATTTTATTTAGGGCCGATTTATCCATTTTTGATTTATTTGACGAATAATTTCTTTGGATACTAGATATTGCCAAGACATGAAAGTTATCGGCCCGATAAACTTTACTAAAGATGAATAAACCCGTCCTTAGTTAAATTTCATAAATTTCTTCGTAACTTTTACTACAATTTTTCATTTTTGTTTATAAAAACCACTTTAAAACTAAACAAAAATTATAGAATACGTATACTGAAAATGACAATTCAAACGTCAAATAAATTTGTAATAGATCTAAGTTTCATGGCAACCTTTAAGGATACATTAATTAAGGGAACATAAATGTATACGTCAAAGGTTAGATTAAAAGTTTGAACTTTAATTGCAACAAAACAGTAAAATATATAAAAAAAAATTGTAAAAACCTTTTTTAATTGAAAGAGTGCATAATATTTTTAATAAACAGCCAATTAAAACAATTCAAACCGTCAAATTGTTTTTATTTTGCTCTTAAAATTTTAGTTATGACCTAATTAACAAGAATATAAAAAAAATAGGTTTAACAGAAAGTCCAAAAATCACCTCTCAGAACAGCACCGTGAATTATTCGGATAATAGAAACTCAGGTTATTTTTTAGGGAAATCATATGCAATTCTGAGATACCAATCTGCGGTACGTGTATCTTTGGATCTGGTTGTTTACCCAAGCCTCTTAAAACTTATTGCGGTGGATATACGGAGTTGGTTCGCACAGAGAGATACAGCACTATAGTTTTTTCTTTGCTTAGCTCTATATGGGGTAAGCCACAATCCCAGAGATATAGAGGGGAGAGAAGGAGCTTGGAGTTCTTGGACCATTGAGCATCCAATTTTATGGCGACAGGCTCATGGCTGACATTTTGAACTAGATGTCGATAATATAGACTTCTCTATCTCTGATTGGCAAGCTTAATAAAGAATAAACAGATGAAGCAACTGTCGCTTGTTGTTAGTTTTATAAGCAGTGTTGCCGTTTGCGGGTATTTTACCCGAAAATCCTGTTACAATTCTTCTTGAATAATACAAAATTAAATTAATTTGTCAAAATAGGGCGAATGCGCTAAATATAACTATACTAAATATACTCTTGCGAGTAAAATCAGGTATTTTGTAATTTTTGGTTTTAAACTTTTATTACAACACTGTTTATAAGTAACCAGTTCTACCTGTTTTCTACAGCGATATCTTTGGTTTAGATGAATTTTTGTATACTTGTTATATGGTTTAACCATAATGGTTGTGTTTTTATATTGTAAGAATTGTGCTGTTAAAACGTGTAGAAACACCCACAATTTTTGACCTCGCCTCGTATACGTGGTTAAAAATGGCGGCTATTTGCCCCCCTCCTTTAATCTCATTCTCCCCCCTCTATATCTCTGCGCAATCCACAAAACAAGGTCTGTTCGATGGAGATATTAAATAATGTAATACCCATTGTTCCCTAATGTAAATGTACTTTAACGAAAGTTTTAATTGTACAAATGTTGTTACTAGCTTTTGTCGTCATAAGTCTTTGGAATAGACGCGAGGCATCCTTAAAATATCGCTGGAATTTGTATGAAGAAAATGTAAAAGAAGAGATGGAAATTAGGTAAGTTTATTTCTTTTATTTTATGAATAGCCGAATTATTACACACATTTGAAACATCAACTGAATCAATGTGGCCTATATTATCAGATCATTGTCCTGTAACATTAATTATTGACATAAACGCGATTTTCATATATAAAACCGTGCTAGAAACAGATGCTGTCATTCGTAATTCTTGACACATCTGTTGTGACGTCACGCGATCATCGAGGCCTTTTTAATATTACATTTTTCAAAACGCTATGATATATTTCTATACGTAAAAAACAAATAACAAAGACAATGTATGAGTCTGAGCAGTCAGATAAAACAAGACTGGTCGGCACCTAAATAAATTTACAGGAAAGAAATTCAAAATGGGCTTTTATGTCAGGAGACCACGGAAAGTGGTATAAATTATCGCACAATCACTATTGCTACTCACTCCAAATGTAATACCAAATAATTTATTATGACTGGTAAAAATCAGTAATTACGGGACATAAATGTGATTCTGCGAGTACAATTAAATAAACTTAATTTACGCAGCGTTTATGGTAAATCCCCTTTAAAAAATATTTATTAAAATATTTAGATAAAATCAAGTACCACCCTGACATTTAGCTAGATAAAATTCAGTACAACCCTGACCTTTTATTAAGATAAAATCAAGTACAACCCTACCCTTTTAGTTAGATAAAATCAAGTGCAACCCGATTTAAATGTTTGTTTATTTAAATGTCTTTTTGAACACATTTTAAACAATTAGGATCGTAATAACCCCAGGATTGTTTGTTTTGATTTAACGATTTAACAAATGTCACCACTGATAAAAATAACGATATTTGCGAAGCAGGTTAACTCGATGTTTTTCTATTGCCTACTAATTTGCTTGATATTTTTTGTGGCGAGTCATTTTTAATAGCGTTTTTCTTGAAAACGTTGAAGATTTTGATAAAAGAAAATGTGATTCACATGATGACTCAATAAACAAAACGCAAAATGGAATATTAGAAGAAAACAAATTCTTAAAATGGTCAATTTTCAATTCTATTCTGTACTTTGATTCTATTTTCTATATATATTCACAAACTATAGGATATATTCACACAAAAAATGCGATTAATTTTAATATTTAAGAATCGAATATAAAGAATTGGCCAAACGAAAAATTGTGAATGGAATGGTTACTTTCGAGATAGAGAGAAAAATAAAATATCCCAAAAGGTTTTTTGCATGTCTTTGGTACATTGGTATGGTAAGATCAAATATATTTATATATATACAGGGTGGAAATCTTAACTGGAATAAATTCTGTATTTTGAAAACCACTTACTTTTAAAAAAAATCCAAAACCAGGTCAATTTATAAATTTACCTGGGTAAATTGTGGTGAATCTTAAAAATATAAGAAACCACCCTTTGAGGGTGCAACCAACCCTACCTTTTTTTTTCAAATGCAAAGTATATCAAGTGATACATCATTTGAAAGCTCTTTTTAATAGGAATTTATACAAATATGCAATTTTTAATTATTTTATTTTGGTACCTTAAAGAAATAAATACTTTTTTTATATCCACCAAAAACGTTGTATATTCAACCGAAAGAATGTATTTCAGTTCTTTAAAATTAGTTGCAAGTAACGTGTTCTAAATTGACTGTAAAAATGTCTTATTTAACTGAAACTTTGCGTATTGAGATTCTAATGATGATTGGATTTGGAGATAGACGTCGAAATCAGACAAAAGTTGCACGATTATTTAACGAAACGCATCCAGAATTGCCTCACATTTGCCAAGGGACTGTTAGTAAAGTGGAAGCAAAATATCACGAAAATGGTCATGTAAGAAATATTCCTAGACAACCCTAGCCTATCGTTGAAGACAATACGAAGCTTAAAGTACTATTAGCAATCCAAGAAAATCCTGTTACTTCAGCTCGACAAATTGCTCGCGAGAACGATTTGAGCCACACCACTTTAATGAAGTTACTACATGCTTTAAAAATGCATCCGTATAAGATGCAAGCAGTACAGGAACTATTTGGGGATGATACCGATCGCAGAATTGAATTTTGCGAGCAAATGATGAACCTTATTAATGATAACCAAATTTCCTTGGATTGGATACTATTTTCCGATGAATCGTCAAAATTGTAGATATTGGAACGACAGCAATCCTCATTGGATTGAAGAAAATCATACACAGTATCCACAAAAGGTAAATGTTTGGGCTGGAATAATTGGTAATAGAATAATTGGTCCCGCCTTTTTAAACGAAACTCTAAATGGCGAAAGGTACTTAACTTTTCTTCAAGAAGATCTTTTACCATATTTGGCAGTTCAGTTTCCAAACGAGAATGATCCAGACTTACCAGATAATAGAGTCTGGTTTCAGCAAGATGGAGCTCCACCGCACTACGCATTACCCGTTCGTCGATACCTAAATGAAATATTTCCTAATCGGTGGATTGGTAGAAGAGGTGCAGTTGAGTGGCCAGCCCGATCTCCAGACCTTACCCCGTTGGATTTTTTCCTGTGGGGTTACCTTAAAAATAAAGTTTATGTGACCAAACCAACTAATATTGAAGATCTTAAAGAGAGTATCCGACACGAAACTTCTTTAATATTACCTGAGATGTTGGAAAAGGTTAAAAATGAATTTTATAATCGTCTAGGATTTTGTCAAGAAACCAGAGGAGCTCATTTTGAACATCTTTTATAATAAATCCATATTTATCATAAAATGAAGTTTATATTATTTATAATTGTACAAAAATAAAATAATTAAAAATTGCATATTTGTATGAATTCCTATTAAAACAAGCTTTCAAATGATGTATCACTTGACGGCCATTCCATGGAATGTGTGATGTGTCCTGTCCATGGGCTTGCAAGCCCATGGACAGGACACATCAGAAACATGTCTACACTGAAAAAATGTATTTAAAAATTTTTACTACTACGTAATTGTAGTATATATACCTATAGGTTCAGTAGAAAATAAAAAGGCAAAATGTTTAATATACATTTACGATGCATAAAGAAAAACTAAGCATTTATCTAGTAATACTGCAACAAAAATGTAGCCTAAATTAGTATGAAATAATACATACTTTAGTATTAATGGCGACCTAAAACCCTTAATATATAACAACAGGAAAAATGTCAAATATGTAACAGTTGTTATAGTAGGCTTAACTAAAACAGATCCTATTTAAAAGTATTACAAAATGCTGCCAAACTAATACCACATCGTTAATTTATAAACAACTCAGACAGATATTATAAGTAAATCAAGTAACAAGTAATTCTTCCGAATATGAATTCTTTTATCGGCACTAAAAATTTGTGGTAAGTATTACTACAACGTTCTATTATATCTTAGAAATTTTGAAGTTGATAATACTAAAACAAAGCTTATCTATACTGTTCATCTCGCACAATCGCCATTGTTGTTAGTAAGCTTGCATAAAGATGCCTCATTGGACGATTTACTAATAAATTGGAAGTTACAAGATTTAATTTGTATTTTTAAGGGTAAGTAAATACTTAATTATTTATGTATTATTAAGAATATATACCTAACATAACTTTAATTTACTTCATTCTAATATTACGCTTTTTGCTTTTGCTTGTAAAGGGGTACTTACTTCATTCTATTTAATAGTTTGATCAGTATCACCTTTAGGTTTATATTCGCTTGCAGCCTTTGCGTGGTGACGGGATAAACATTTTTGCCCTTTACCATAGAAAAACTATTCTTTTCTATGCTTTTCCGTAAAAAACCTATTTGGGTATTTCTTCTTACAGCCTGTAACTTACAGGTATTATTATAATAAGATTCAATGTTCAATATTTGTTTTGAAGAGTTTTGACGTTATTTTTTAATATATTAGTAATATCCACAGAACAAGTGTTCTGTGGTAATATCTATACAGTGGGGCTATGTTTGAAAACTTATAGCTAACCCTTTTGGGAATGACAAACACTTGTTTAATATTAAGTAAAATTTAACAAATAAGTAAATTATTTATTATATTTTTATTAAATGTTTTATTGTTACACCTTCTTATATTTAGTATATATATTGTATTATTTTTGGTTTAGGTTTTTATGTTTATCATAAAAGTTAAGAAGAAGATATCATTTATTTTATTCTAAGAATTTTATATATATTTTTTTAATAAAAATTTGTTGAAAAACATGTTCTCTTTTATCCTATAACCTTTACTGCATACTTTTACATAACACCAAAAAATCTATAATCGATAACCTTTTAATTCAGTATTTATTCCGTTTGGATAAAGTGACCAGATTTTGTCCAAAAATAGGGGGACATTTTGTATGAATTTATCTTAATTACAAAATTAACACAATGATACAAATTGTATCATACAATGCAAATTGAAAATTTGACGTTACTTAATTATTGTTGATTGTATCATTTTTGTAATTAAGGTTAATTTACACAAAATGTCCCTCTATTTTTTGACAGAATTTGCTAACTTTACGTTTGGAAGTAGTACTGCTTACCAAATAAGAAAATTATTGGTTAAATACCGTAACATTAGTACATACTGGTTATACAAGTACTAAATATTACCCTGATAAGTTAATAAACAATAAATATTACTCTTTTTAATAGCATTTCGTTGTTATTAAATATATCTCACTTAAAGCATATTTCAAACGACTAAAGAATGTTCAGACTTACTATAATGCAGTAGTTACTATCAGAATTCGGTAATTCTATTTGATACCACAACGTTGTAGTACTGCTTAAGAAGCTATTAATGGTTAATATGTAACACGACATCTCATTTAACATTACTAAGACTTAAAAACATTTTTGTTGTGGTAATAAATACCACAAACATTTGCTGTCACCTATTTCAACCGTAACAATCTATACTTATTTAACAATTTTTCGGTAACGGCTAAGGATACATTTTTTCAGTGTAAATATATTCTTGTTACTTCCTTAAGTTTACTTATTTTTTCTACGAGTATTTATGAGAAGTATTAGCCAAATTTGGCTAATACTTCTCATAAATACTCGTAGAAAAAATAAGTAAACTTAAGGAAGTAACAAGAATATATTTAGACATGTTTCTGATGTGTCCTGTCCATGGGCTTGGAATGGCCGTTGATATACCTTTGCATTTGAAAAAAAAAGTTAGGGTTGGTTGCACCCTCAAAGGGTTCTTATATTTTTAAGATTTACCACAATTTACCCAGGTAAATTTATAAATTGACCTGTTTTTGGATTTTTTTAAAAGTAAGTCACGGTTCACCGAACACCGTTTTTAACGAAAAAAATAGAACAACTTTGAAACATTTAAAAAAAAAATACTTACCAACTAAGTATTCAAAAAAAGTAAAATGAAAATCTTCCATGAAGATCTTGGGAAATAGCGATCAATTCTTCGTAATTTATGTGTAGTATCGTATATTGACTGTCTCAAAGTTAATATTTGTAGAATATTTTTAATTTTAAAGACTCATACGATAGTAGGAAACTCAAACTTTATTCTTCTGAATGCATTATTCAAAATTATAAACGTAAAAATTGATAAACTTTAACAAAAATTTAAAAAAAACAACAAAATAAATCTAAGCCTACAGATGTTGACTATTGTATGCACAAAGACATCGAAGCAAGTTCATATTATATTTTTCTAAGTTATTTCTGGATAAATTAAAATTCCTGAAAAATAAATTGAATGAATGACGAACTTTCTCCGATGCTTGCTCTGAGAAGAAACCAAGGGCTCTTTGCGTTTCTTCAATAAATTGAGGAACATGGTAAATGAAAGCATGCATTTATCATGTTACCATGGATCTTTGGTGTACATGTAATTCCAGCTTTTGATGATTGTAGTTTAAATTCTTTTATGTAGTCTACTAGACTTTATATTCATCTGCTAAGTTTTGGCCAAAGCAGCCAAAAACTACTTGATTGAACGCATCAAATACGGGTAGATATTCATTGTCTAAAATAGGAATTATAAATCAGTAGGTAGAAAACATCCAAACAAAGCACCGCTTATGACAAAGTTTTCAATAAAGCAATCGACTTTAGTAGTTTTAGTGCATTATTGCCATTAAATTTGCCATAATGGTCAAAGCAGATTCCAGCACTTTTCACCCATGCCTCCCAAATTCTGGATATTTGCTGTTTAGGGAATCAAAAAGTTTTTGTACAATGCCCAGCATAAGGTGAAGTTCTGGTGGTGGAATAAAGAACAAAGCTGGGACATTTTGAACATTTGAACTCGTTCAAAAACGTCTACAATTAAAAAACATCGATAAAAACTCGAAGCAAATACGGGCGCAATTTACAAGTTTTAACCACAAAATTAAAAATAATATTTTGTATTCAGCGGCAAGATAAAAATCGAAGCAACAAATTGTAAACCCAGGCATGTTCAATAGTCGGTATATATACGCAAAAGAGGATTAGTTTTAGTACGAATCTCACTTATAGTTGGCTGCTACTTTTAACAAAAAGAAACAGAGTTTTTATGCGAGGTCAAATATCAGTGGTCTAAACTATACAAACCTATTTCAATAAAAAATTGATATATTATCGACAAAATTATAAAAAACCAAGAAAGAAAAAGTTTCTTTTTTATGCACTTTTTATTACCTACTAAAGAAATAAATTATAATTCATATTTTAAATATAGCAACCCAAAAAACGTATTTAAAAAAAACAGTTCTTTGACAAAATTTTTGACAGATCTACATGGAAGATTTTCATTTTACTTTTTTTTGAATACTTAGTTGGTAAGTATTTTTTTTGAAAATGTTTCAAAGTTGTTCTATTTTTTTCGTTAAAAACGGTGTTCGGTGAACCGTGAAGTGGTTTTCAAAATACAGAATTTATTCCAGTTAAGGTTTCCACACTGTATGTTTTAATGTTAAAATATTTTTTTAGGTTGTATTTGTTATTGCCTTTTGTTATTTAAGGCAGGCCTTGGTGGCTGCGATAAACATCGCTGTGGTCAAACATCACCTCTACGAAACCGTTGAGATTGACACCATCATAATCGGACTGAATTCTACATTGACAGCTTTGTGTACGATATATTATGCGAAACTCGTCGGTGCCATAGGAGAACGAATGACGAGCGCTTTCCTGCCAAAGACGCAGGGCGGTTACGACAACATATTAATCGTTTTGACATTTAGTTTGGATATTATCAACACCTTTCTTCCGCTGTTTTATACGGCTTTCCTTAAGGTGTCAACAACCTGAACCGTGGCGATCCCAAAGATCTCATTTTTTCAGAACTAGAAAGAAACGTCAGTATGTATACTACTCCGGTTGCTATGTAATACAGTCAAGTGAAATCTACCTTATTAAGACTACCAAATCCATACAATCGATTCGCGTATATTACTTAAAAAGCACTTTACAGTCAAACTTTTGAACTCAATGGTTTATTAAACCTTGATTTTCAATTAAATTCGAATCGAATGCGCGCATGCGCTGCCTACTTTTGGCGGAATAATTTAAATATCTGAAAAAATCAACTTATGGAGTTTAAAAGGCAAAAATACTGTTTATTTGATGCAAACATATCTAAATAATTATAAACTTAAATGCTTAAATAAACCCTACCCTGCCTTTCAAAACCCATAACTATATATATATATATATATATATATATATATATATATATATATATATATATATATATATATATATATATATATATAGTTATTTAGATTTTCTTGCTATTAAAACACAAACTTAGACCTCAAAATTTATAAACAAAATATTAAAATATACAAAAAACACATTTTTAAATTTGTGTTTAAACATTTAAGTAAACCTTGTAAGACTTTGCAACTTTAAAAAAGGTGTTATAAGTTAAAAAACTTTCAAGGAAATTTAATTTGTGGCAGTTACTTTCGGTTGCTACCTAAAGATTACATTATAATTATTTTTACTTTGTAGGCCCTTTGCAAGTTAAAATCTCGAAACTGGAACATGAGTTTAAAACTACAAAGTTAATAACTTAAAAATTATTATTTTAGTATTTGGAACGTTTATGGTACTAACTAAAACTACCGTAAAGTAAATTAAGGTGGAAAAAAACTTTAAAGTAGCGAAAACTACTTAAAAGGAAAATGCTTCTTATTGGCCATTTTTTACTGTACAGTACCACGTGGTAATGTAAATAATAAATTATTTTAATTGTTTGTAAATGGTTGTTTACTTTTAAATAGTAATTTTGTTGGTAATAGACGGTATTAATATTTAAATAAAAAATTAATTATAAATATTAACACTTTTTTATTTATAAACATTATTAAATAAATAAAGGGTTTATAAATTTACCTGCCTAATTAAACTTTATATTGTTATTCTGGAAGTTATAAACTACCAGTACCTATTTAATAAACGACGACATTGAAAAGCCAAGTCCGTAGTGGTTCCATTTAAAAAAGGAGGGATAGTATAATCTAATATAAGTTTGACAAAGACAGTTAATATAGAAGTAAAAACAAATAAATAAAAGTAATTATAACGCTCTAGCAACGATATTGAAACGTTCTAGTAACGTAGCAGCTACGTTCCAAATAGTAGCAGGGTTTATAGCTAATGAGATATTTGTTACTTAATAATTGTTCCCCACTTTAGTCGTAACTTAGTAATGAAAGAGTAATATAAAGAGACCGGCGACTGTTTCTTCAATAGTCCCATATACGTAACAAATACTTAAATTGTTGCTTGGGTAATTATTGAAAGTAAACGTTTCTTCCTAGTTTTTGGAAAATAGGGGATCTTATTTTTGGTACCACCACTTATTATTTTTTATCTATTGATTATTTATTTTTTAGGATAGTAACTCCAATATTCCCGTGAGAAGTGGATCGTGGTTTTATGGTTACGATGATTGTGATCCATATCCTTGCCTATACCAACTTCAAATTCAATTCCTGATTTATTTAACTTTAAAAACGTTAATTGAAAAAATATTTGTAATTATTGGTCCGTAAGTAACGTAGGTATCTTGAAAAATAAATCTGCATCTAATAACTTCAGAAAAATTAACAAACTCATAAAATACTACTTCACGGAACGATTGAAACAATCCTCAATGCCTCAATATGAAGAAGAATACAACTTAAAACCCACTACCAGAAATATGACCAAGATACTTCATTCCAGACGATGTAAAAAAACCTAATTAATCAAAAACTGATGAACGATTTAAAAAATTTCAACTTGAGTCTCACGATACTTCCCTGATAGCAAAATTTGATTTTAAGAATCTTCTAAGAAGATATGACCCGGAATAATGGAATATTCTTAGAACCTTCCCTTATTGCTAAGAATGTTCTTAGGGGCTTTTAAAACATTCAATAGATACCCTTTTAATGCATTAGATTCTTAAAAGCTTCTTAAAACCTTCCTAAAAAGCATCCTAAGAACATTTTAAGAATGCGTTTTTGGAATGTTCTTAGAAGGTTTCTTATGGATTCTGAAATTTCATGAAATTTATGAAATTTATTGAAACTTACAATAAATTTCAATCACTTTAAGTGTAATATATTAATATTGAAATAAGCCCACTCGGGGACCATGGCAAATTGCCTCTCTTACCTCCTACCCCTCTGTGGGCCCCCTTACCAATAATATAAATAGTAAATACCTATGTTTACCACAAATTTCTTGAGATTTCCTTTTAAAATATTTTTAAAATTACTAAAACTAAAAGAGATTTAGCACTTTTTGGTAAGCTAATGAGATTGTGCCACTTTCATTGTTTTATATTTATATATATTTAATATTTTTAAATATTTTACTGAAATTTTACGAAAATTGAAGAAACTTCATCAAAATTTTATGAGCCAAAGGCATTTTTTATCCGTTTTCCGATGCAATTATAGCAAAAGTAAAAGTTTAAATTAATCATGACTTTTAAAAAAATTTAAAGTCTGATTTAATTTACAAATTAAATTGGTAACTGAATTAAATTATTTAAATTAATTTATGCATATAAGTAACAATAATTACTTATAGTGTATTCAAATCCAAGCCGAACTAAACAAAAACGCCCAGACGCTTGATAACTCGTTCTTATTGGTCGATTCGGAATCTGTTGTAAATTATTATTAAAGGTCCCAGGGGAAATTTCTGAAACTTTCACAGGCAATGTTGAAATTTTCGGATTGAAAATTTCATTTGAAATTTTAAAAATTTCACTTTTCCAACTAAATTAAATATTTCAAGTTTGAAACTTTCAAAGTTGAAATTTGCATTTGAAAATTTCAACTGTCCCAACCCTAATGACAGTGAAATGTATTAAATACAAATTTTGTCGTCCCTTTAAAAAAATTTGCGACATATTAATATATATTTATTTAAAAATATTAAATAAACAATTTGACCTCTAAACCATAAGTTGTATGACATTATTTCAAAAAAGTAAAATTGGAAAATTTTGTGGGATAAGTCAGATTAGATTGAAGTTGAAGATAGTTAGGATTATTATACATAAAAATGTTAATTCAGAAATAAAAAATCGGTATACAAATTAATATATATTTATTTTTAACATAAAATAAAATACCTATAGTAAAAGTATTTTTGTTATCGAATATTGTTTTAATTTTCCAAATAACTATAACTAAATATTGGATTGTGTTTTTTACTTAGAATTTAATACTAATTAGGTACTTAAGTTACTTATACTATACCTATACTTAAGTTAAGTATAGGTAGGTTACTGAACTAAATATGCTTATCAGGAATATTCCTAAATGAACTTTCTATAGCAATTATAAAGTATACTTTCTTAACATTCTAACCCTGATAGCAAAATTTGATTCTAAGAATCTTCTAAGAAGATATAACCCGGAATAATGGAATATTCTTAGGACCTTCCCTTTTTGCTAAGAATGTTCTTAGGGACTTTTAAAACATTCAATAGATACCCTTTTAATGATGCAATTAGATTCTTAGAAGCTTCTTAAAACCTTCCTAAAAAGCATTCTAAGAACATTTTAAAAATACGTTTTTGGAATGTTCTTAGAAGGTTTCTTATGGAGCTTCTAGGAAGCTTTTGAGAATATTTCCAAATATGTCAGATACCCACGTTCTAATATGTTGGATTCTACATTCGTAAAATTCTTCAGGAGGCGACAAATACGCCTCACTGTCATAATATGAAAGTGAAAAATGTATTTGTCGTCCCCATAAAAAATTTTGCGACATAATATATATTTATTTAAAAATATTAAATAAACAATTTGACCCCTAAACCATAAGTTGTATGACATTATTTCATAAAAAGTAAAATTGGAAAATTTTGTGGGATAAGTCAGATTAGATTGAAGTTGATAGTTAGGATTATTATACATAAAAATGTTAATTTAGAAATAAAAAATCGGTATACAAATTAATAAATATTTATTTTTAACATAAAATAAAATATAAAAAAACAAAATATTTCCTTATAAAATAATTCTTCATAAAAGAAAAAACCAAATAGTTCTTCATAAAACAAACATTTTTCATTGTATTTAAGTTGGATAGAAGATTTTATGTAAATGCCGGATAATTTAGATACCTATAGTAAAAGTATTTTTGTTATCGAATATTGTTTTAATTTGACAAATAACTATAAAAAAATATTTTGGGTTGGTTTTTTACTTAGTATTTAATACTAAGTATAGGTACCTTTATACGTAGATTATGGTATATTTTACTATTATATAGGTACCTAACTGAACTGAATATGCTTAACAGAATGTTCCAGGAATATTCCTAAATGAACTTTCTATAGCAATTACTTTCTCAACATTCTAAGCATAAGTTTAGAGTGGATTAATTTTTACCACTAAACTTTGCAACTTCTGAGAACCTGCCTATAGGCCAGTGAGAATATTCTTAGGATTATGCTATATTTCTTTTAAGCATGTTCTTTAGAAGAAATATAGCATGATCCTAAGAATATTCTCACTGGAAGGTTTAAAAAACATTCTTAGAACATGACCAGAAGAAATATAGCATATGCTATATTTCTTCTGGTCATGTTCATATGATCCTAAGAATATTCTCACTGGAAGGTTTAAAAAACATTCTTAGAACATGATTAGAAGAAATATAGCATGATCCTAAGAATATTCCCACTGGAAGGTTTAAAAAACATTCTTAGAATAAACTGTGCTATCAGGGAAGCATATGTTTGGAGTAGACTAATTTTTACCACTAAAACTTTGCACCTTCTAAGAACCTGCCTATAGGCCAGTAAGAATATTCTTAGGATCATGCTATATATCTTTTAAGCATGTTCTTTAGAAGAAATATAGCTTGATCCTAAGAATATTCTCACTGGAAGTTTTAAAAAACATTCTTAGAATAAAGTGTGCTATCAGGGTTAGGCACTAAAGGAACTCTATGTTGCACTATAGGTACTCTATAGAGCCCCTAATCAGGGGCGGACATATGACCGGGCAGTTCGGTGCGGTGTCTGGGGGCCCCTATCGAATAGGCTTCCTCTAGAGCAAAATTAAATTTAAAATATCTTGATTTATTGAATCTATAGATTTATAAATTCGACATATATGTATAGCGCATCGATTCATCAGTCTTTGAACTATTTCTAAAATTTCTTTTACCAACATCTGATTTCCAGGCATGCAGTATGTTCTGGTGCTAGGCTTCGTTTATAGTCTTCCGTTTGCCCATTTTTGCGCATTGGCTCACAACTTATTGGCTTTGAGAATGGATGCCAAAAAGTTGATTTATAATACCAGAAGACCCCCATCCGTCAGACACGTTAAAGGAATTGGAACCTGGCATTCTGTTGTGTTAAATATGACTTTTATAGGAGCTTTGTGCAATGCATGTAAAAAGTTTGTTTTAAACAAATATATTATATAATTTTTTAGATACTGGTTATTACATTTTCCGGACAATTGATTAACCTGATATATCATCACCATTATAAAAAGGAGTATACCATTTTGAACTTGTTCTCTGGTAAGTTTAATCAGTTAAGTATGAAGAGTTATTTTTAACTGATAGCAAAATTTGATTCTAAGAATCTTCTAAGAAGATATGACTCGGAATAATGGAATATTCTTAGAACCTTCCCTTATTGCTAAGAATGTTCTTAGGGACTTTTAAAACATTCAATAGATACCCTTTTAATGATGCAATTAGATTCTTGGAAGCTTCTTAAAACCTTCCTAAAAAGCAATCTAAGAACATTTTAAGAATACGTTTTTGGAATGTTCTTAGAAGGTTTCTTATGGAGCTTCTAGAAAGCTTTTGAGAATATTTCCAAATATGTCAGATACCCACGTTCTAATATGTTGGATTCTACATTCGTAAAATTCTTCAGGAGGCGACAAATAGGTACGCCTCACTGTCATAATATGACAGTGAAATGTATTTGTCATCCCCTTAAAAAAATTTGCGACATATTAATATATATTTATTTTAAAATATTAAATAAACAATTTGACCTCTGAAGTTGTATGACATTATTTCATAAAAAGTAAAATTGGAAAATTTTGTGGGATAAGTCAGATTAGATTGAAGTTGAAGATAGTTAGGATTATTATACATAAAAATGTTAATTCAGAAATAAAAAATCGGTATACAAATTAATAAATATTTATTTTTAAAATAAAATAAAATATAAAAAAACAAAATATTTCCTTATAAAATAATTCTTCATAAAAGAAAAAACCAAATAGTTCTTCATAAAACAAACGTTTTTCATTGTATTTAAGTTGGATAGAAGATTTTATGTAAAAGCCGGATAATTTAGATACCTATAGTAAAAGTATTTTTGTTATCGAATATTGTTTTAATTTGACAAATAACTATAAAAAAATATTTTGGGTTGGGTTTTTTACTTAGTATTTAATACTAAGTATAGGTACCTTTATACGTAGATTATGGTATATTTTACTATTATATAGGTACCTAACTGAACTGAATATGCTTAACAGAATGTTCCAGGAATATTCCTAAATGAACTTTCTATAGCAATTACTTTCTCAACATTCTAAGCATATGTTTATAGTGGATTAATTTTTACCAATAAACTTTGCACCTTCTAAGAACCTGCCTATAGGCCAGTGAGAATATTCTTAGGATTATGCTATATTTCTTTTAAGCGTGTTCTTTAGAAGAAATATAGCATGATCCTGAGAATATTCTAAGAATGTTTTTTAAACCTTCCAGTGGGAATATTCTTAGGATCATGCTATATTTCTTCTAGTCATGTTCTAAGAATGTTTTTTAAACCTTCCAGTGAAAATATTCTTAGGATCATGCTATATTTCTTCTAGTCATGTTCTAAGAATGTTTTTTAAACCTTCCAGTGAGAATATTCTTAGGATCATGCTATATTTCTTCTAAAGAACATGCTTAAAAGAAATATAGCATTATCCTAAGAATATTCTCACTGGCCTATAGGCAGGTTCTTAGAAGGTGCAAAGTTTAGTGGTAAAAATTAATCCATATAAACTGTGCTATCAGGGTTAACTGAATATATTGCAGAGTTTCAACCGGAACCCGTTTTTGGCGAATCCAAAGTGAAGCTTAACACGTGTTGGTATTTAGGCCAATATCTTCCTCCGGGACACAAACGGGGCCAATATAAAAGGCAGAGAACTTTTTACAAGACCGCCGATAAAAAGTCGGAGTATTTTCTTTACTTCGAAACAATCATTGTGCTCTGCTTTATCATCATTCGTTTACTAATACCAAAAGTGCCGTTGCACATAAAGAAAAAAACTGGCGTAGACAGAACGAACCTTAGAAATTCATACAATGAAGTGTTTAATAAGAAGTTGAATATTGAACCTCCAGGTTATAAAGGTGAAAATACAGACGTCGAAGATGAACCAGAAGACGATGAAGATGATGATCAAGAGGATGATCATATAGATGATCCAGATGTTGGTATAAGCGATATTGGTGTCGATAGGTCCCGCGCACGTCCTTCCATATACGGAGAGCCAGTTCCCTACACCGAAGGGGAAGACGAAGAAGATGAAATTGAGTGGTTTAGATATAGATAAGTTTTTCTTATATTTACTAGTTTATACAATCAATTAATAAATATTAATGGTTTATTTCGGATTTGGACATTTGATTTCTTAAAATATAAAAACATCAACAAGGTAGTTCAACTTTACAATAATAATAATTACACTATGATAGTTTAAATTACTAACATCGAGTACGCCCACCTATATTAAGTAGTTTTGCTCCAGGACGTCTAGGATTCGAAATAATTGGGTAATAAAATGCTCTGCCCAATTATCTCACAATGTACCCAGACAGCATCCAATTCAGAAAGATTTCTGTACGAAGTCTGTTTAAAAACATCTTACCGAGGTCAAAATATGACATCTTAGAGAAATCATTTTAGGAGCTCAAGATTAAGAGTTCTTTATGAATTCATAAATGAGAAGTCAATTTTTTAACATCTTAAAGTATCTTTTTTTCTGACCTCTTATTGGAATCAAAATTAGAAGCTACTAAGGGTATCATAAATGAGACTTCAGTTATATGATATCTTACAGTATTCTCTTTTCTTACTTTTACTGAAATCATATTATTAAGTCTTTAAGACGTCAACGTCACATTTATGACATTTTAATGCGATTACTTTCTTCTCACCGCTGTAACTGCTTGTGTTTGATATAAGAAGCGGCGAAGTAGAATTTAGAGCGTGCTCCATACCAAACGGTCTTAGACCTAGGTAAACGGCTACCCGATACTGACGAGCTCCAAAAGAGCGAAACAGGCCGTCTATCGGTGCCGGTGAAGAGCACGCTTGAATTTAAACAAAAGTGAGACGAAGTAATCGCAATTCTGAAAATAAGCGAATCGATCAAATTATTATGATTTTAATAAAATCAATTTAACAAATTCGATGGTTCTATGGTAATAACTTGATATGTCAAAATAAGCAACGATCCAGTATGTAATTTTTTCATCAGTACCCTAGTAGTAGGTACTTCTATATCCAAAACGGGAAATTCTAAAGAAGTCTTTTTATAAGTTTATACAGTAGGACTCTTTAAAATGCTTAATTGCAAAGTCAAAGAAAAGGGTTCCTCAAGAGTTCTTTTTTGAGAAGTCTGGATTATTTCAATAGGTGGCGCATTCGAAGTCTTAAGAACTTCTTAAAAACTTCTTACTGATGTTGTATTTGACGTCCAAATCATAAAATAGAGCTTATGCAGACTTAATTAAGACGTCATATTGCTGTCTGGGTAAGTTTTTGATTATTTATTAAATTATTTTGCCTTGGATCTATTTTAGATGTTCAGTAGGTATATTTTTGATTTTTTTTCAAAAATATACAGGGACTCCATACAGTCATCGGTAGATAAAATTTATGTCAAATAGAAATTTTTTGTTCCATTGTAGCCCTTTATACATATAGTATACATTAGTATTATACATAAGGGATATTTAATAAAGCACTTTTCTGCTGCAGAGAAGTGCTTTATTAAGGTAGTTGTCGTGCTGTAAGCATACCATCAGAAAATTTTAAATTTTTGTATACTTATTAAGGACATGACAATACAATTATCCTTAAAATTTAAAGTCGATTGACTGTCTATAACCCGAGATAAATTCAATTAAAAATTGGATAATTAACATGGATTGTATACGCTTTCTGTAGTTCTGTACCAGTTTCTTAGTTATAAAAAAAACTAACTGTCAGAAGCTTTAAAAAAACTAACAGTCTTTTAATGTATTTTTGCTGAGTTTAAAAAAAAATAGTTAAAAATTTTTGACCATCCAATTGTTTATAAATAACCGTTTAAAGTTCAACAATTTGTAAAAAAGTATACATCACTAGTGTCAGATAAAAACAACTTGGCAACGCTGTATTCGAGTATAGATATTATTTCCGCAGTAAATTCAAACAGACTGATTCAGTCTCCAATATATCTATTGGTTAAGCATAAGCGACGTTGCCGGATTAAAACTTATGAAAATATTTGAAAGTATTACGTAAAGGTAACGTCTCCAAGGGTACAGTCTTGCGAAAAAATTATGAATCACTTAGCTACAAGCTCGTATACTTTTACGGTGCGTATAATCTAAAAAATTTTGACAATATTGTACCACGACAACTACCTTAAATACCAAAACTAAAATTATAATGTTTTTTTGGCAAAAAGTATAATTTTTTGAAATTTCTGTGTCGTTTTTTTATTACTAATTAATTTAAAAAGGCAACAAAGTAAATGGGTTTCGGTATAAACATTACTCTTCGACTATTATTTGATATTTTTTTTATTCACATTATGTCCAAAGTACCCAAAAGTTCAATCTCCAATCTTATTTATTAAGTCTTATCTGCATTAGCAGTCGCTATTTACTATTAAATACGTATGAATGGAAGCATATTGTCCCTGTACATCAAGATTTTTTGCAGAAAAGTGTCCCTCTAAGTGATAAATTTTAAGGTTAAATATATAGTTTCAGCGCAGATTGTTTTCTCACGAAAAGCGTCATGTCTGCAAAAGCAGACAGTAGCTTAATATCGGCCAATGGAAGAGGTTATGAAGTGTCCCTGTAAATTTCGATTTTATTTTGTTGTTTTTAAATGTTATTATAAGTTGTTTTTTTCGATTTTAACTCTCGGTAAGTACTATATTTTTAATAAGGGTTTGTTCAAATATTTTTATTTATTTTTATTCTAAAGTCTATGTCTGACGGTGCAACTTCTCGCGGCGACTTTGTTGCGGCGACTAGGTCGCCGCGATTTTTTGGTGGTCACACGATGCAACTAATCAGCTGATCTAACCTGTCCTAAAATAGAACATGTTCTATTTTCATGCAATAAAATCGCCGCGACTTGGTAACTTTTTTGGGGATTTACGAATTTTCACTAAATTTTTTGGTTGGTACTTAATATTTATCAGCTGTGGAATGACAGATGTGATTTGCGTGTGCTTTAATCTGAGTGTTTTTATTTTTACACCACAAAATACTTATAACTATACTTATAACTAAAAGAAAAATAAAACCGATTTAAATAAACATTAAATTTGTTTAGGTATTTTTGTTTTTCAACTAAGTAATTTTCGGTTATGTTGGCAATCCTAGTATAAAATAACGTCAGTTTGGTTGCACCGTGTGAACACCCTAGAGGCGAGAAAGTCGCTGCAACTAGTCGCCGCAACAAAGTCGCCGCGAGAAATTGCACCGTCAGACATGGACTTAAGGAAATATTCCTGCCTAAGCTAAATACGGTTTTTTATATTTGGTTATAAAATTTTAATAATCATAAATATATAATATTATAAATTATAAATATATATTATAAATGTAATATATATAATTAATGTTTCGTATTGACCTATAGGTCAATACGAAACATTATCTCTTTTGCCAATGATCTTATACGTATATTTATTCAAAAACCATTTTATGTATTGAATATATATGTATATACTATATAATATAATATATATAATATTATTATATATTTATAATTTATAATATTATATATTTATGATTATTAAAATTTTATAACCAAATATAAAAAACCGTATTTAGCTTAGGCAGGAATATTTCCTTAGAATAAAAATAAATAAAAATATTTGAACAAACCCTTATTAAAAATATAGTACTTACCGAGAGTTAAAATCGAAAAAAACAACTTATAATAACATTTAAAAACAACAAAATAAAATCGAAATTTACAGGGACACTTCATAACCTCTTCCATTGGCCGATATTAAGCTACTGTCTGCTTTTGCAGACATGACGCTTTTCGTGAGAAAACAATCTGCGCTGAAACTATATATTTAACCTTAAAATTTATCACTTAGAGGGACACTTTTCTGCAAAAAATCTTGATGTACAGGGACAATATGCTTCCATTCATACGTATTTAATAGTAAATAGCGACTGCTAATGCAGACATGCGTTTTTCTGTGGTTTAAAATTTGTCTGCAATTGCAGTCGTGTCCCTACACATGTGTCTGCAATAGCAGTCGTGTCCGCGAATGTGTTAGGTCACTTAGGGATATTTAAAAAAAACTGCATTTTATATTTATTTAATACACCTATTTATTTATGTTTTGAATATTTTTTTCCAAATAACCAATTATTTCGATTTTAAACAGAAAAAAATAATATTAAAATAGATTAACTATTCTTTTACATAACCTTTATTACCTATATAAACCTATTCATGCAAGTAATTTATTATATATTTTATTTAATAAATAGCCTAAACATTATTTAACTGCAAGCACGAAATTAAATTAAAGTACCATGCATTTATGACTGCAAAAAAAATAAGATTGAATGCAAAAATATAACCTAACTTTTTAAGCGTAGGTACCAAATATAACAAAAACATATTCGAGTAGGTAATCAAATACAAAATAATATTTAAAATCCTACTCACCCCAGTATAACAAAAACCAAAACACTTAAAATAATACTAATGCACATTCTGTATTGCAGAATAATCTCAAATTTATTAAAAAAAAACCGTTACATACGACATTATGACAGCACTGCCAGAGATAAAAAAAGGGCACTACCTCTTGTAATTTGTAATATCTCTATAAAGTAGGGCACCACAATGATATTTTATCTATTTTGGTTTCATAATGACTTCATTATATCACCGCTTTTGGTTCTTTAATGAGGTACTTTATTCCACCCAAAATTTTGATTTTATAGGTTGGCTACTGGTAAAATACAATTTTGAATACCTATAGGTTATAATATTTTTATGATTTGTTTTCTAGTACTTACGAGACTTTTCGTGTAATAAATTTTGTTTAACACCAAAGAAAATCCTTTTTTCTTCTTTAACAGCCGCTTATTGTAAATACTTATTGTAAATTAACGACGCCATAGCGAAAGAATGTGATAATGTTTGAAAGGTTAATGACCTTTCAAACTTCAAACTTTGTTATCTATGATACCAACTATGTAAAGTAAAATTTAACCAAATTAAATATAAGGTACCTATAAAATTAATTTGTTTTATGAAATGTTTGCAAAATAGATAAAATAGCATAAAGAACTCATGTCATAAGACCTTTTGTCGCACTTGTCCATTATAAAACTCGCTCCTTCGTCGCTCGTTT